GCCGTTGTAGAACTGAGCACCCTTTGCGCGGTTGCCCTCGTGTGAGAGCAATGATCTCGGGGCGGATCAGGTACTCGCCGTCCTCAAGGTTGGGAAGCTTGACAGTAATTTGTCCCTTGTTGTCGATGAACTTCTGAACAGCCCAAGTGCCGGCGTTGAGACCCTCCTCGAAGATCTTGGTCCAGACGGCACCCTCTCCCTTGGTGTCGGCCTTGGCCATGTAGACCATGACAGGTCCCTGGTGAGACTTGGCAATGGGCTCGTCCTGGTCACCAGACTGGGTCTGAGGATCGTTGTGGTGCCACTGGAAGGTGACTTCGGAGCCGGCCTTGGCCTCGACGAAATCGGTGGTAGGCTTTCCACCGTTGCAGTTCATAGCAGTAGAGGTGACATCGTAGATGGGATTGTTGCCGTTCGATGGGGTTTGGACAGCAAAGTGCTGGCCCATGTCCTTGCCGTCGATAACAAAGGACTGGAAGGTGGTGTGGGCAGCAGCGAGCTGAGCAGCGGCAGCGGCGATGGCAAACGAGGTCCTCATGTTGATGCTGGGTAGTGTTGATCGTTGGTGTTGAAGCTTGGAAGTGAGAGTATAAGAGGTTGAACCTTGAAAACGAATGTACAGGCGAAGAGAGAAAGTCACGAAAGTGAGTGAATGCCAAAGAGCGTAGTGAATGAATGTCAGCTTCAAGCTTGATGCCTCTCACTCATGGGAACTTAAGAGCATCTTATACTCTGCCAGCAACACGGCACGATTCGACCTGACAGCCATCAGATTCTCTCTGACAAGCGCTCCGACATCTTGAAACCCAGGTACCCGGATGGACGCCAAGTAATTGCGGGCACTTTCATCTATCCAGCGGCCGCTAATGTACGGGCACACACAAACTGAGGTTGGCGTATCGATTAGTTGCCAGAAAGGTTGTTTCTCGGCAGCTATCGATGCTTTGGCCCCAGTACTCTTCATTGCAAGGAGCATGGAAGGATCTCGCTTCGATGCATGTTCCTGAATGGACCGTGTTCATGGTCCACTGTGTCGAATCACGACAAAGACGTTTGAAACGGTGGTGATGGTGGACCCAGCTCGAGCGGAAGAATTCTACCAATATTGCCTCAGCGGTAAACGAAACTTCATGCACTGGCGGCAACATGACGAGCTGGACTTCATACTGTGGCAGATGCCAGCCGTGATTGCTTCATTTCATCTTGTCATGTTTTTCGCTATCGATCTTGCATAAACGCCTGCCTTGGAAGATAGCGTCAGTTGTTTCGTGTTAGTTGTTATCCCACGAACCATGAATCATTGTTCTTATGTTGTGTTCTATCCTCTCTGAACGATACGACATGTCTGCCCAAGAGCTCTGGATAAATCCGAAGAACTTGTGTGTAAAACCACAAGCGCGGCACAGAGGCCATAGGAACATGAAAAGAACGCTCGAGACGTTCCGTGGGTGGGTCATATTCTTCCGTGGGCGCGAAGAGGTGGAGATCGATCCTACTGAAACGAAATTCGTGGTGGGGCAAATTGCTTAGTTCCGTGGCGCGCTCACTGATGTTTCAACTTCAGTACCGCTATCATAACAGGCGCTTCGACTTTTCTCTCTTTGAATGGATACCTACACCTTTTTGCAAACAATTGTTCTGTTGAAGCATTGTTCAGGCTGACTCACGGTAAGCGCAAAAGCTCTTTTCTTCGAAACACGTTCGAGACTGTCTTGTCAGCAGCGCAAATTGCGTGCAGCGTCATTGGGGCGCGCATGACTATTGGGAAAGGGCAGTACCGGGTCTACTGAAGAATTGCACCGTGCCGCTATCCTTCTTGAAACCTTTCTGACTCGGTGTGGATTTCGATGCAGTCAGCAAGTGGTACAAAGCAAATGGAGCGTCGCGATCGTGAGAACCAACCGTGTCCCACGCGGCATATTAAGATTGATGAAGGTTGTCGCAGCCGCGAGTCGTGTGCGTCTAAACATTCGAGAATAGGAGGAAAAACGTTAGGCGTGTGTGTCAATGATCAGGCAGATGAATGGTAACCTTTATGCCATCATGCAACACTGGATTGGCGCAAGAGTGCGCATGTTTGAGAGATATCGATCTTGACCTTCTCGTGTGAAGTTGATGGACATCCATTGTGGTTGCACACGGCACAAGCGCTTCTGTTTCGCATAGCGGATTTGTGTTACAAGCGCGTTGAACTTCGGATTTTGGAAGCCACGACAGTATCATGAGCTTCGTAGCGTACTGATGGTGTAGTTTCTGCATAATCATTCGGCCCAGAAAAAAAAAATTGCTGCGCAAGTTGCGATTGAGAATGATTTCCAAATGACACTCCAAAAATTTGGAGCAACAGCTTTGGAGAGCTGCGGCTGGTGGCTGTGCAGAAGATTGCGATCGAGATTGACCTCCTAATTCTACCCCAGAGCTTGGAGGGGAGGCGTTAGAGAGCTGTGGCTGGTGGCTGTGCAGGAGTACTCGCCTCCACATTGGACACTGTCAGGCATCTAGATCATGGACCACGACAACGTACATTCATTCACAATATGGCGCGCGAGCTGAATGTGCACACATTGAGCATGCGTAATGAGTTCGTGGCTCTTCTCCATGTCTTGCGATGTGAAGTCGACGTCAAGCTTCAAGGCCATCACATGCGGCTCGAAGAGCCTGATCGTCTGTCACCGGAGCGTTGTCCGCCCAACCAAATGGCGCAACTGCAACAATTTCCAGGGTGCACAACGGCGCATCTAGCAAGAGAACGGACATGAGATGAGATCTTGTCGGGTCAAGAACAGATTCTAGGCCCTGGTGTCAGCACAGGGATCGTAGATTGCGTCCGTCGGGTGGCTGAAATCAACACCTCGACATGCAGCGTGCCGCGCGATGAGGGTCCACGGCGTAGGCAGATCTGGAGATGCAGGAGATCGTAGGAGTACGGGGGTGCCGTCCACGTCGCAACAATCACAGTCGTCACCACCGTCGATCGTCAAGCCCTGCACAACGCAGAAATGGCACACCGACAGTGGTGACGATCGCCCAGAGACGTTCAAGCCTTGCTTTCTCCCTGTTTTCTCGGTAGCTTCCAGCGCCCCACAGCGTGATTCCGTCACACGTGTCGGCCAATTGCAAGGGCCGCCGCAAGAAAGCCACCGGTTCTGTACGATAAACAAGGTGTGTTGCCCTTGGCGATCAGGCATGAGCAATTTCCCAAGGCCAGAGTTTGACAATTTTTCGCTTCCAGGTTTTTCGCTTGGGGCAGTCGCATGAGGCTGACGTGTTGCATACAAGAGCCGTAGACCAGCATGTGACGATAGCAATGCATGTCCAGCTGCAGCCATAGCCACAGCCACAGCGACGGACAGAGCGAAATGCAAGCGGCGGCGGCTACATTGATTGCGCACGCTGGTGGCTGGTGAAGTGGTGTATGGGCTAGTGGATTGGTGGTGAGACGGATGCAGACAGCTGAAGATGTTGTGGATCCGGCGACGGCGTGTCTCTTAGCGCCATGGCGTGGAGCTATCCCTTTGATGGGCGCCAGGATACGTCACGGCGCGTTCCCAGTACTTCAACCAGCACTACCCTCAGACGGCCCAGGCCCAGCAGCGAGGTGTATCGCTCCCTCACGATCCTACGACCCCTCCATCGCACCTTCCTCGAGGGCCCACTGACTGCCTAACTGCCAATCGCCAATTGCCAATCGCTAATTGCCCATCATGTCGGGCACCGGCGGCGAGCAGGGAAAGGCGCGTGAGAGCTCCAACTCACTCTCCTCTGTCATATCGACCCTCGTGCCAGCAGCACTCCTCGCATTGGCATTTGTGACGGCTTTCATTGTTGCACGAAAGTACTTCCGTCGCGTCTATGCCCCGCGAACTTACCTCAACCACCTGGGCGAACAGCGCCAGACGCCAGCACCCAGTGGAGGGCTGTTTGGATGGATAAAAGATTTCAAGAACCTACCCGACACTTTCATTCTTGACCACCAGTCCATTGATGGCTATCTCTTTGTGCGCTACTTCAAGGTCCTCGTCGCCATCTCTCTGTTGGGATGCATCATCACGTGGCCTGTTCTCTTCCCCGTCAATGCCACTGGTGGTGCTGGAAACGAGCAGCTTGACATCCTTTCCATGAGCAATGTTGCCCAGGAGCCCGCCATGAACGTCAACCGCTACTATGCGCACGCCGGCGTCTCGTTCATCTTCCTCAGCTTAGTCATGGTCATTATTGCGCGCGAGTCTTTTTACGTCGTCAACCTGCGCCAGGCCTACCGTCGCTCGCCATGGGGCGCCAGCCGTCTGTCTGCCCGCACCATCCTCTTCACCAACGTCCCCAAGACGCTCTCGCAGTCTACCCTCTTTGAGATGTTCCCTGGTGTCAAGCACGCCTGGGTCGCCTCCAACACCAAGGATTTGGAGAAGCTCGTTGAGGACCGCGACGAGACCGCCCTCAAGCTCGAGAACGGGCGAGGTACAGCTACAGACGGATGCAAACAGAACAGGCTCAAGGCAGAGAAGGGCAAGAAGCACTATGTCGCGAGCGACGTCAACGACGGCACCAAATGGATCAACCCCAAGAAGCGCCCAACCCACAAGCTCAAGTTCCTAATCGGCAAGAAGGTCGACACCATCGAGTACGGTCGCTCGCATCTTGCTGAGCTTCTCCCCAAGATTCAGGCGGAGCAGGACAAGCACTGGAATGGCCAGGGAGAGCTTGTCGGCGGCGTTTTCCTTGAATTCGACACGCAACGCCACGCCCAGGACGCCTGGCAAATGATGCAGAACAAGAAGACCAAGCCCAACTCCAAGCTTGAGGCCCAGCAGCTCGGTGTCATTCCCCAGGAAGTCGTCTGGCAGAACCTGCGCATTAAGCCCGCTGAGCATCTCGTTCGATGGACTGCTGCCACTGCCTTCATTTCCGTCATGATCATCTTCTTCGCTGTCCCTGTTGCATTTGTCGGTCTCGTCTCCAACATCAACTACCTTCAACAACAGTTCAGCTGGTTGCGATGGATTGGCAGCATTCCTCCAGTTATTTTAGGTGTCATTACGGGTCTTTTGCCCACGGTCATGCTCGCCGTCTTGATGGCACTGGTCCCTATTTTCTGTCGTTTCTTGGCCAAGACAGCTGGTTACGGTAAGTCAACCCATGCGACTACTCCCGTCGACGTCACACTAACAGTTTCTCAGTCACTTGGAGCCAGGTCGAGCTCAAGACACAGTCGTGGTACTTTGCGTTCCAAGTTGTCCAGGTCTTTCTCATCACGACGGTAGCCAGCGCAGCTACAACGGTTGTTCGCTCTGTCATCAACGACCCAGGCTCCGCTCTGACCGTGCTTTCCGAGAACTTGCCCAAGGCGTCGAACTTCTATATCAGCTACTTCATTCTGCTTGGTCTTTCGTCTGCAGCAGGCACGCTCCTGAACATCGGTGGTTTTGTTGTTGTTGTTCTCCTTGGCCGTATTCTCCCAGGCAAGACCCCGCGTAAGATCTTCGAGAAGCTCACGAAGCTCTCCGGGCCGTCCTGGGGATCCGAATTCCCAAAGTGGACCAACTTGGCTGTCATCGCTATCACCTACTCTGGCATTGCGCCTCTCATGTTGGGTTTTGCGGTCATCGGTTTCTCTCTCATTTACGTTGCATTCAGGTACAACTTCCTGTATGTGTACGAGTCCAACATTGAGACCAAGGGCGCCGCCTACCAGAAGGCCATGAAGCACATCCTTGTTGGCTGCTATCTCTCCGAGCTCTGCCTCATTGGTTTGTTCGCTATCTCCACGGCCAAGAACATCCAGGCCGTTGGCCCCTTAATCATCATGTGCATCCTTTTGCTCATTACCATCATCTTCTCCGTAACGCTGAGCAAGGCCCTCGCTCACGAAGAGGCCCGCCTTGCCTATACCGACCCTTCGCCCTTGAATGGTCACCACGAGAATGGCCTGAACGGCGTCGATGGCACCAACGGCGAGAAGGTTGCGGCAGCCCAGAGTGGCAACTCGTTCCAGCACGCCCCAAAGCCAAGTCGCATTCCTCTCTTCCTCCGCAAACTAATCAACCCCGAGCGCAACTCCATGAACACGTTGTCAGCTTCTCTCGATCAGTTCTACCATCACCCGCAGGAGCCGCTACCGGTTGAGATTCAGAAACGTGCCTTCTTCAACCCTTCGGTCACCTCGCCCACACCCGTCATTTGGATTGTTCGCGACGATATGGGTATCAGCGAACGTGAGATCAGAGACACGAAGAAGATGGTTCCTGGCCTTGAGATCACCGACGAGCAGGCCATTTTCAACGAGAAGGGCAAGGTCTACTGGAAGGGTGTTGATGACGGACACTCCCGCGAGGCGCCTGTCTTCGAGGAGCGCATCGTCTACTAGTGGTAGATGGGCATAGACTAGGAGGAGCTGGCCGTTCCGGCGGCCTTGGATACTGGAGTTTGATACCCTATGGGACGATGACGACTGATACACATACCCCATTCCTTTTCTTGCGCACCGCTTCCGTTCATGATGTACGATGGAGGAATTTACCTTTCAAACGAGTACCCCTGCACTAAGCACCTATACCTTTTAAAAACGAGGACGAGCTGAGTAGATAGTAGTAATCAATTTTAATGAGTCCGATCGAAAGCCTTCCTTTGTTTGCAACTTGTTGTTCGGGTGTGGTTTGAAATGCGCCTGGGCAGGCGGGATGACGGCACGTGACGATCTCCACCGACGACGTTCAATCTTGAAGATCGAGACTCGGTGTAAATGGCTACAGACTAACTTTCATCTTGCTTCGGCATCTCATTGCACCTTGGTATGGACTACTGCATACAAGCTGCGCTCATTTGTATCATGTTTCCTCTTCGTCAAGATCATTTCCGCCGTGTTGCTATTGCGAAGTCGTACAATCGAAAAACGTTTCTCATGATTCGAAACAAGAGTCTAGGATCGGAGCTGGATTCAACACCCGCAAATATCCAAGTGTGAGTTACTAGATGACACATGGATCTGCGCTTTGTCGCAATCTTTAAGAGATGGTTGTCGACATTCACACGTGGTGGTACATCCAGTCCTCGCCACCGGCCTTACACAACAAGACACGCGACAACAGCTTCTATGCGGCAGCTAATACCTGGTCTCCGCATTAAGCTCCAGGTCTTTACTTCTTGCGGTAATAGTTCAACATTCGGATAATTTTGGATGTGATGATTTCATTGACATCATCAGCTCATCATAAGGGTCCACCACAGTTCATTAAATCTACAAAACTCAGAAAGATCAGAAGCAAAGTAAAGTTATAACACACACAAAAGCTCAATACTCTTATAAGTTCCCTCTCTTCAGACCAATATCACCTCATACATATCAAAAAATAAACGAACCCAATCATGTCTGCCGAATACAAGAACGCCGACCTGAATAAGATCGCTCAAGACGCTGAGCGTGACCTTAACACAGACGCTGCAAAGAAGGGCCATGGCAGCAACGCCGGTACGTTCACTCATTCCTTATCCAACTTCTCCAACCCTCTCCATACTAACTCCCCCCAGGTACCGACGCAACCGGCATCGACGAGTCCGTAACCACCAAATTCCCCGGTTCAACCGTCGAATACGGCACCGGCGCCAGCAACAACCGCACTATCCCCGAATCCGAAGGCGGTTCGGTCAACCCAGCTACCGGCAAGTTGTACAAGGCGGGTGACTATGCGCATGGGGGTGTTGGCGCGCCGGAGGCGAGGTTGGAGGGGTATGCGAAGAACCATGGGGGTGAGGATGATGTTAGGGGGAACACGGTTGATGGGGCGTCGTTGAGGCAGAGTGGGGCGAAATAGATGGTTATATGGAATTGATGACTTGTATGAACATGAAATGAAAGCAAAGAATTTCTCCAGGTCTATTCTCAACCTGTTACATGATGACATGGGCATGTAGACACGCACTCAGTCATACGATGGCCCATCTCAAGCTGCTCCTCCTCACGCATCATCAGCCCTAACCATCGCATTCTTCTCAACCCACGCGTCCTGCATAGCAACATGCATCTTCTTAATCTCCCCATCATCTGGCGCAAATCCATATTCCTCAACCCATTCTTCCCGTGCCTGAATCACCCACTTCTCCTTCCACACCCGCTCTTCCTCCACCTTCTTCCGCAACTTCGCACTCCCACCCTCCTCCTTCTCAAGCAACTCTCCAATCTTCGCTTCGACCTCCGCAATCAAGCGCATCATCTCTTCTGCCTTGGCATCGCTCTCTTCGAGGAATTTGAGCGTGTGTGCGTCGTCGGTAAACGTGTTGTGTGCGCGGCGGAAGAGTTGAGTGGATTCTTTGTGTAGGATGCGCAGGCGGTTTTCGAGGATGGAAAGCGAGGGGCAGTTTGCGATTATGCCTGGGTAGCGGCGGGTGGTGGTTTGTTTGACCAGGGACTTGGAGGGCTGGGTGGTGGTGCGGTGGGTGGATGGCATGTTGATCGTTATTATGGAGTGGAAAATTAGTGGTGTGTGTGGTTGATATTCGAATTGAGGGTATTGGTGTGTGTGGATATTTGGCAAGAGTGTTAGGGGAAGGGATTCTGTACGAGAAGGATGTTGCGCAGGTGGAGTGAAAGATCGTTAGTTTACAGTGTAGATTCATGCCTTAGTGAGCAAGCTGCACTACATCAATTCATCATGCCAACCAGCTTCAATACCACATCTCTCACCTTCATAAATGACATCGATAAGAGGGAAACTAAGATGTGAAGGCCGACTTTCCAGTTGGAAGAGCCGCGAATGCCCCAACTTCTCCAGGCAGTTTGCTACACAGTCCCGGGCAAATCGGTAGCAAACCACACCCAAAATACTTAAATCGGCTCTCCTCTCAAAACTTAACGTTGTTAGCTACAGACCCCTCATCACAAAAGCATGAGAGTCACACGCTCACATCGTCGCTTCGATTCAGTGGCGCATCTCGATCCCAATCCTCGACCTGTCAGGAAACTCTCGGTCATCAAAACACTCGACCTCAATCTCAGAAGGCTACAAAACAAGTGTATAAAGCTGAGGAACGAGATGGCCGAGCTGGAAAGAAGGAAATTGGCTGGTGGAGCCCGGTGGATCAGCGTCACAGCCGAGCTGGCAAACAACTCGAGCGCCCAGGAAAGGATGAGTGAAATGATCCGCCAGATTGAGAGGCAGATTGTGGAGAGTTGGGAAAGCGTGGGATAGCTGTGGCTTTGTTGAGCATTGGTCAGTGGGTCTACCTGTACTTGCGATAGACGTAGCTTGAGATCGTGTATAGAATCGTTGCGACAGCCCATCGACCTTGGAGTGATCAAATTGCAGGTCTCCTTGAAGCGAGTTTTCTTATTGTCGCATCTACTGTTGTGCTCTACCTGCCCTGGGTAAGGGCCGCATATCTAGCAGCCGCGCGGAGTGAGAGACTAATGATTGCCACTAGTAATTCATTCGACAAGTCCCCATCCATCTCTGTTTACCCAAGTCCCAGAATTTCTCAACACGGTCTCTTTCCAACCTTTCACCTCTATTCTCAGCATGTTTTCCAACACTACCCAAACACCCGCTGTCGACCCCGACGGTCCATCGAAAATTGATCCTGGAAATCACTACAAGAACTGCCCAATCTGCTACATGTGTTCCGTCTGGCAGCGAATCCAGGACCTAGAATTCACCGAGAACGACCTTGAGACGCGTCGATCGAAAATGCCTGATCCGGATATCGATGACGACTTATTTGGGGAGACAAAAAGGCCCACGTGGCGCCGCGTGGAGGATGCAGAGCTAAGGAAGAGCTCGATGGCTTATGTCATCGTTAGGATAGATCAGATTAAGGTTGAAAAGGCGCCGCTTTGGACGGAGTTTGATAAGCTGAGGAAGGACCACAGGCTTGAAAAGGTGAAGAGGTATTAGGAATATTTGGAGCATTTGGGATGTGGCGCGAGGAGGGTTTACCAAATCATGGAACTGAATGGCGATCACTGTGAAAGAAAAGGCAAGGGCAGGAAGCAGGCACGAGGTGGATATGCGGGGCAGCCGCGATGAAGACGACCACGTGATCTCAGATACTCAACTGAAGAGGCACTCCATTTGCCTCCATCTCCTAGCAAATCGCATGTGACACACCGCAGCAAGCTTTTCTCATTACAAATCTATCGCAGTGGTCCCTCCATCGCCCTCTCTCCTTTCCACCCGTTCACTATCTCCCAACAATGTCCGCACCCACTAATGACGAAGCAAAGACGGTAAGGGACAGCAACTTGACCCGCTTCTTTGAGTTCCAGCAACAAGCTCGAAACTTCCACAACCGCAAACAATACCTCTGCTGCATAGTTGCTACAGCGGAAGAACTCGTAGAAATTAAACAGGCAGACAGGTCGTTTGAGAAGTTGATGACCGCTTTTGAGAAGAGGATGCGAGAATTAGAGGAGTCGAGTGTCAAGGTAGAAGAGACGACAGGGTGAAGGATGGAAGCATACAAGTTTGAGTGGATACGGTACGACATGGAATGCTATGCGTGTTACAAGCAGTGGAAATGGCTGCAGGATTGCGGCGTTGTAAGGATCCTGGACATGGGTTGAACGAGTTTCGGGGTAGTACAAGACGGGAGTGTGCATTGATTGAGTGGATCACGTAGTACCTAATGGCAGATTGGCGAACAACAACATGTATTACAAAGTGGAACGTTTCTATGAAGGTTAGCTCATGTATGTTCAAGTCTGCTGCTGATGCTGCGACATAATGAATGATGGCAGTGGTCCATCTTCAAGTCACCTCGTTTGCAAAAGATTGTGTCACAAGTGTCGTGATCCTTGCGATCAATATCTCGATGCATGCGGAACGGGGACATGCATACACCCGTCCATCCCTACACCGTATCGTTTTCTCTTCGCAGGTTTGTCCGGAACCTCCAGAAAGGGCGCTGACGTCTACTTATAGTTCCCCACAGGTCAGTCTATCCAAGTCCTTCATCCTCCAACCTCGAAAACACACATCTTGGCTATCATTCTGAGGACACCTTCCACATAATTGCAACCAACCGTCCAAATCATGGCTTCCAATACACCCACCGCTAGTGCGCCTCTCTCCTCTGCAGAAGTTGAAGGCATGCTGGCTATGCTCGTCCAGGGCCTGGATACCATCGAGGCCGCAACCTCCAAACTCTCCGAAAAGCTCGAAAAAGGGTTGATCCAAGGTTTGATGGCCCAAGACCGTTCAGAAGAAGTGCTTCAAAGGCAGCTGGATGATTCAGCCATGGAGGTTGCGACCCTGCAACGCCGCTTGCAGGATCTGGACCGCGACCAGTGCGTTACAAAGATGAGGGTTACAAAGCTTGAGGAAAAGTCCGCAAAGCTTGAGGAAAAGTACGCAAAGCTTGAGCGAAAGTCTGCAAAGCTCGAAGCCGACCTGCCCACCACATATCTCAAGCTCCTGAACAAGCTCGGGAAACTTGAACACCGGATCGCGGACATGGAAGAGGCACGACACGTCGAGCAGCACGAGCGATCGTCCAAGGGTGCGGGCAACGTGTGAGCAGGATGTTACATGTGGTATGTTCCCCTCTTTCTATTCCTCTGTTCTCTGTCATCCGACGCGACTGTGATGATAACTCCAGACAACCTTATTTCATCTCCGCATCAAACGATCCCAAGGGATTGTGAATATGTGCGACAACACCACTGCCTGAGCCATGCACATATCCCTTGTTCTTTACTTCAGGTTTGATCAATGCTGACTGTTTGCGTACAGGGAGAGGGACAGGAGTGGTGGACTGAGTGACGTCGGGAGATGGTTGGTGGATGGTTTATGAGGAAGGAGATATTGTGGAGTGCAGAAGTAGTGTATGAAGTGTCTGAAACATGCAGTTCGAGCATGCCTCAATGGGAAACATAGCTTGCTATCGTGTCGTCTCCAAAACAACGTGCAATTACCAAGTGAACTGACATACCACCTCTTGGCATTGCGCAGCAAGCACGTCTCAGGCTTAAAATAATGGTACAGGAGCTGCCAACCCCCGCTTTGATTGCACGTCCATCAGCGGCCTCTTATCTGTCTCGCACACCGTGCCATTGTTGGGCACCTTGCCCGTTTCGAGATATGCCGCCATGTGCTTCAGCGTGCAGGATGACTCTACACCGCTAACAGTGTGGCCTCCAGATCGCTGCTGAACGACAGCGCTGCCCTCGAAGAAGTTCGACATGTACTGTGCGCTGCTGAGCGGTGTTGCAGGGTCTGCATCCGGATTTACGAAGAGTACTGGGTTAAGGGTCTTGGTCTTATTGAAGCCTGGTGGATGTTAGGATGTAATCGACATGCTGGACGACACATGAAAACTTACCGGGGAACGTCTGGCTCTTGGGCGGCAAGATCGACATGCCTGCGGCGAAAAGAGGGTTCCCTACTGCATAATCTTTACCTAGCCACTTGCCGGTCTTCGAGATGCGCTCTACTACGGCGAGGTAATTGTCGACGTTCTTGACAGGGTAGCGATCAGCGGCATCGATGGCAGTGATGAGCCTCTGAGCCTCACGAAAAGCGGCTGCCGTGTAGTCGAATGGCTCAGGTTCAGGCTTAGCATCGCGGCTAGTGTTTCGTCCTGCCTCATTCCAGATGGTCGCATTCTTCTCCACGAGGCCAGCCAATACGGCTGCAATGTGTTTGAAGTCTCGGGAGGGGTTGTAGGTCCAAGAAAACACTCTCTCAACCACTCGGTCGCGAGTGATAATAAATGGAACAGGTTGTTTTGGATCGATGGACTGAAGAGGCTCCCTCTCGAGATCACTGAGCAAGGCATCGAAGCGCTTCTCAAGGCCATCAGCGTCAGTAGAGTCCGTGGCAAAAGCACATTTCTTGCTGCCAGCCTCGGCGCAGACTCTGAAAAAGTACCGCATTGAGTTGTCGAATGTTGAAACGCTGTCGTAGACAATGCCTTTATAGTAGTCTTCGCTGTGCACATTGCCGTCGAGGATAATGCGACCAACGCGGCTGGGGTAGAGGTTTGCGAGGGTATGGCCAATGACGGTGCCGTAGCTGAGTCCATAGTACCAGACGAGAGCCTGCTCAGGCTCCTTGCCATTCAGAGCAGCCTGCAATTTAGTGAAATGCAACATGTCCTGTACAATAGCCACAGTGCCAGCATAACGAGCAGTGGTATTCTTGTTCGCCGCCGTGCACCACTTGCCGATGGCGACGGCTTGAGCATATTCCTCCTGTGGTGTCGAGAGCGAGGCTTTATTGTTTTCAAATTCTTCGCGAGTGTCTGCCTCGCCAGGAAAACAGGTCAAGTCAACATCACTGGCATTGACTCCACGCGGATCGAAGCTGACAACATTGTACTTCGAGCCCGTGTACTCCATGATCCTGTCACCAGATCCTGCGAGGAATGCAGCAATGCCCGAACCAGCTGGACCTCCAGGATTGTAGATGACATCGATATCGCTGCTGTTGGTAGCTTTCAAACGTATCCATGGAACAACAGTGGGCCCCAGGGAAGGCTGTTCGTAATCCAGCGGGACTTCTAGATTTGCACACTCGAATCGTTTGTAGCAGGGTAACCATTGCAGTTTCGAGCTCTTAGGAATGTCTTTGAAGCTGGAGACGGTGTTGTTTGTTTCAAGGGATCGTAGTTGGGAGTACGGCGTGATTAAGGGTGCAGGAAAGGCCGCTGCAACAGAGACTAGCAGAACCGTTGTTGCGGTGAGCAACATGACGATCAAGACAATTAGAGATTACGGTGTGGTTTCATGTGTGAAAGAGTGACAATGCGCTGCACGTAGAGCGTGCCATGATATATAACTTCGATCGGGTAGAGAAGCACACGGCGCACGAGCGAGCTCATAGACTAGCGACGACTAGCAAGGCCCTGCCTCGTGTATGGCACGGCTCCATGGTCGGAATTTATCCTTAGGGCGGCAGCAACTGTGCATGTCCTCGCTCCTTCGTATCCCCAGGTTTGATTCGGACCGCTGCACAGCGCACTTTGTGTTCATAACAGCGACATGAATAGGCGGCCGATTGGATGACTTAGCAGAACTACTGATTGTCATTCAGTAGTGTAACCAATTGTCATGACATTCATGGCGTGACAAGACGCCATGTACCTTCCTCGCCAAAGAGAGATCCCATAACGCCAGGCTCCATGAATCCCAGTCGATTCCTATCGTTTCATACCCAACCTGAACGCCTCTTACCATGTGCTTAGATATCCTACCTCGCCTTGACATTGAACCCACTCTCTTCCGCTGCCTTGTATCCATTGAACGCAAAGAGGCTGATGACGTAGAGTGCGACAAACCTTACGATGACATCGCTCAGCCCGCCATTGCCCATGATCATCCTCTGTAAGCCAGCAAAAGGGCTCTCGCCGACCGGCCTACTGGGCGCATCTGCAGATCCCAAGGTACGACCTTTCGTCGAGAAAACCGCAGATGCCGGGCCAGCACCAGAAGCGTCGCCCGCGGCCTTGCGCACGGCGGCTGTGAGGGCGGCGGGGTTCGCGCCACGGATGGTGTCGACGACGGCGGAGGAGGATTTGATTACGAGGAAAGTCGGCATGCTGCATAAAGTATCAGCCGCAAGTTCCACAAGGTTACTTGTAGGGTTCGGGTACTTACGCAGATACGCCGTACTTCTTCGCGACTTCTTGCTGCGAATCTACATCGACCTTGACAAACTGCAGCTTTCCGGGCTTCGTCTCCTTCTCGGCGAGGCTCTGGAAGACGGGCGCGATTGCTTTACATGGCCCGCACCAGTCGGCGTAGAAGTCGACGACTGTGTAGGTGCTTTGCGACAGCAGCTGTGAGAAGTGCGAGGACGAGGTTACGGAGATGATTTTGCCAGGCATCTTGTTGCTGGTGTGGGGATTATATGTTTTGCGATTGTCGAATTTGGTCTTCTAATGTCGAGGACAGAGTGGAGTCGTGAAGGTCTGCGGGGGTGGAGAGGATGTGGACAGCTTGCGACAAGGATGTGGCGCAATGAGGGAAGCTCTTGGGAAGCGGCGTTGAGAGAGCGCCGATTGGTCAGCTGGAATCCACGCTTTCCCCACGCGTCACATCGTCAGACCTCACTGACGTCTCACTTCACGCCTGATCCCGATGACATGAACTGGCTGCGAATTGGAAGTGAGAGAAAATATGACTGTCATCAGTCCATCTAGTTTCACCATCCACGACAAAAATCGTGTCCGCACTACACATGCGCGAAGCGATCTAATAGTTTTCAGGAGCATACTTTGAAGTTTATAAGGGAGCCTTACGATATACGCCATTCTCATATATTCTTATCTAGTTCTGCGAAAGCTTTTGAGAACACCTAGGCTGCCTTAGCATCTTCTCGTTAGGTCTTCTCACTCCTCGTCCGAATCATTGTCGTAATCCATATCCCACGCAAAAGGACACTCCGGATCATCCCCGTGAGTGTGGAAAGTCACTCGATCCTCGATGTAATTCCCTTGGTCATCAAAATACTCCTGGAGACGCGTGGGCGTGTGCGGTCCATTCGTCATTCCCGCGGCACCAAAGGATTCGATGTCATCTGGATCTGGTAGTGCGAAACCACCAGGGACTTTGTCTAGGTTGCCGAAGAGGGCTTCATATTCCGATTCTCCGTCTGCGGCTCCAGTTTCGTCTTGTGGCTCCTCTCTGACCTCGATGTCTCCTCTATGCGGATCTGGCACTGGGACTACGCTGGCATACCCAACATCGCGCATTGCCGCCTCCGTATCGGGCATGTTGAGGCTTGTTGCCGGCCCGCTGAGGTCCTGTTGGCGAGTACTATCGGCATTGTTTGAAAAGAGCTCACCTATTACCTCTTCCGGCTCAGCAAAGAGAACCCTAAATGTCGAGTGAAGATGGCTGAACCCCAGAGACGAACGCATAGTAGGGCTAACCAACGGTAATACATTTGTCGCATAGGGACGTGCGACGTCAGATTGCGAACGTAGTTGATCGACTTCTAGTCCAGTAACAGGCGCCGGTCTCACAGCTTGTGTGGGTGTTTCTTCAGGCGGCCCGGTATCGACTAACCGTACTGGCCGGCGATTCTCACAGATCTGTGAGCGACACTCGGGGCAGAGATTGCTACAAGCTGCAACAGAATTCATCCAATCTCGGAGGCAGTGGTCATGGAAATAATGGCCGCATTCTCGAAGCTTCAAGCAAATCGCCTTCGCAGTTCGAGATACGAATATGTCTGCGCAGATCGTACAGTTCTGCCTGCGCGGTCGATCATCTTCCCCAACAGTCTGAGCGAATTCCAGCGCATCGATTGAAGGGCCATGGACTTCGAGATCGGCACTGTCGTATATGTCGCGCAAAAGCTCCTCGGGTACATTTTCATCGCTATCCTCTTCTACATCTAGGAGACGGGCATCATAATCGGCAACAACACGAAGATCGGTCGAAAAGCCAGGAGGAAGATGGTTCTCATAGAACTGGCGACCCCAGTGGCGCTCCATGTAGTGAGTCCCGGTACTCTCTATGTGATCGAAGTCTACGAGCACCGGATACCCGGAAGGTCGAGAGGACACCATATTAGAGACGCTCGTTTCGTTCCAATAAAGGTCCAAATCTGTGTCCACCACGGCGACTATACGCCGAAGCTCGGACGCAGACAGTCCCACTGTGTCTTTAAGAGCAACGAGCGCGAAAAGGTACATATCGCAGTCCAACGCGTCGTCCTGCTGAAGCATAAAATTGCTCTTTTCGCCCGCAGCCTGCCACAGCCAATCCCAGATCGTAATGAAAGGAACGCTCTTGAGAAAGTCTCGCATCTGATAAGACAACATGCAATCAACGGTGTCGGCACAGTCTTCTATCATATCAGCGAAGATTTTGCGTGACTGTACAAGGCCTAGATAGTACCATTTGAAGGGCGGCAGTCCCTTTCTCTGTCGGTAGCCTCGTCTGTAAGTGTAGTCCCAGATATCCACGATATCGAGAGCCGCCCTCGCGACGATATGGACCAAGCTCTCAATATCTCGTGCGCCGTTTTCCCGCGCGGCATACTCTGCGACAGCAAATAGCACACCAGGACGAGTGAAAGGCCCCGGGCTCACTGCGTCGTCCAATCCATGGTCCAAATCAGCCGACTCGTATACCGGCTGTGGTGTCTTCAAGTGATGGAGATGGCGCACAAACAGAAATCTCTGATCGTTGTTCGCAGGATTTGGGCCTAGTTTCGCGCACTCAACCAGCCAGAGTCTCGGGCAAGAGATCTCCGAGTACAACCCATCCCTGTGCCTACACATCGCGTGGCAATGGCCACCCGCACTCCGATGTAGCTCTTCGAACACTCCAACTGGATCCTGTCGGGAGAGTACCTGCGCGACCTGCAAAGATTCCGGATCGCGATACATCTTCGAGCCCGGGGAACGCAGCGCCGTCATGAGCCGTTGCCACTGTACATGGCGCTGCCGATCCGTGTGAAATAGATGCGAGAGACATAATAGGCGGCCAAAGATAGTGAGTGTGATTCGGGTCCCGTGATATGCGCCGTGGAATTTTTCGAGCGTGGTATTCAGACAAGAGAGGGTTTCTGGTGGAGGTGACGGGTGGAGGTGGCTCGGCGACACCATACTCTCAGGCTCGCTCATCGTAAAGGTCGGGTATGGGAGAAGTTGCGGTACGCTTGGCGTCGTCGGGACGGTGCGGACATTGCGGCGTGAAAAGATATTGTGGGTGAGGTGTGGTGTTAGCGTGCTTTTGCTGCCTGGGCTTCTGATTGAAGCTGTCACCACCAGTTGGCGCAATAATTCGTGCCTGTTCTCACGCACCACAGTGAGCAGGATGTCGTTAGCGATAGCTAAGGCTGTCTATCTTTAAAGTCTCTTTCAGGATTTAATACGGTCTGATAAACTTTTAAAGCTATACAGGCTAGTGCGTAACTTGCTAGATAGTCTCTGAGAAGGTCGCAAGTATAAGTAGAGCGGGCGCGAATAGTTGCGGCATTTGGTGTCACTAGATTTGGACTTCTACTGCTGACATTATGCAGGCACCGACATCCCGTGGTACCTAGCAGGTCGCATCATCAGATGCATCAGCCTTTCAATCCTCAGAGATGCTATGGCCACGCCCATGCTTGACCAACTCTTTCACAATATGGTCTCTTCGTTTCGCGCCATTAATCTTTCTAACCTCCGTTCAATTTGTGGAATTGTTAATTGATTTCCTGGTACTCGTGTGCGCTCACAGTTATCCACACGGTCATTTGCATTCATCTGGGTACATTCTGTAGTTCCTAATAGAAGACTAGCAGGCCCTGAACTGTTCCTGGCTCAGTGATTGATGGACTGAGTTTCAAACATGTTTCCAATTAGTCATTAAATTGAATGAATGTTTCTCCATAACTTCGATCTCGCATACCGTACATGCAGCCCCAAGCTTCAAACCTCAGGTTTACCTAAGCCGAACTTCCAATAAACCAGCTCCACGCGGATTGTAGTGCATCTTCACAATTTCAAGCCTCTCGTCCACCTCCTTGAATAGAGTCCTCCAGTCGTTCTCCGTCCTCTCCTTCGCTCCAAACAACGCAAGCATGAGCAAGTCCATCTGCCGGAGCTGATTCGCCTCGGCCATCGTCACAACACCCTCCGCACGCTCCGGAACGATAACATCGTTGATGAGAACAACGGGGTTGTCAGTCCTGCCTTCGAGGGCTGGAATGAGCGCTCGCAACATCCTAACTGATTCTTCGTCATTGTGGTTGTGGAATGTCGCGCGACATAGATAGACGCCCGCATCGCGAATGGGCTGTGGCGTGTAGTAGTCATACTGTTGGTATGTGACGCGATCCCCCAATTCAGCCACGTTCGCATCGGAGAGCTGCTGCGGTGACAAGTCTTGCACGGTGAAGTTTATGTTCTTGAACTCCTATGCATTGTGTCAGTTCAAGTGAGCGGAGCATATAAACGGTACTTACACGTGCGAGATCAAGTGAGACATGGCCGTTACCTCCCCCAATGTCCACAACCTTGGTGTTGGCGAGTGATCCCCAATCGAAGTTGTTGCGCAGCATCTCGAAGGGGTTGTCAACTAATATCAAGGTCAGCTAAGGCTTGTTTCATAGTAGATTGATACACATACTCGTTCCCCAACTCCTCATCGCATCTGAGAAGAGCTTCCCATGACTCTCATCTGCAGTGTATGTGTAGAAGTCCTTCTTGAACTGTCGGTAAAAGGGACTATCCTTTACGCTCATCCCGTATGGACTAGCCACAATCCAATCGTCCATGTCAGATGTTGCTTTAGCACAAGGGTCGAGTTGCATCTCGGCCATTGAGCGATAGATATTTGTCTTCAAGAAATTAGATAATGCAGTGTGACGAAACTTGCCAGCAACCTCCTCAAAGATGCGATGTGTAGCAAGCATTTTCAGGATCCGGTTGGCTCGATCCACATCCATGGATGTAGCTTTCGCAACTTCCGAAGCAGTGAGTCCAATATTGTCATCTGGAACGTGGTCAAAGAATTTGCGACGCAGCGCGACTTGTGTGGCTGCTAGATCTGTGTGCCAAAAGGACATAGTACGAAATATGTTCTTGGGCCCATTGGCGAGGCGCATCAGGTCCATGGTCGCATCCGTAAGCTCATTTCGAAGACTCTCATATGCGTAGGTTTCTGGAAGGACCGCCGAGGTAGGAGTGAAGTCCGGGTGGGCATGTTCGTGCTTCTCCAGATAGGCTGTTATCTGTGAAGAGACCTTGGATACTCGACCAGCCAAGTTGGCGAAGGAGGTGTTGTTGCGACGAATAGGTGAGGCAAAGAAAGCCATTTTAGCAAGAAAGTGATGGGACAAATGATCAGAGTATGTTGAAGATACTTGTGGTACAAGGCATGACCTCTCCTTCAAATACTCTGCTCGAGCTCCACCACAAATCCGACCACTACCATTTGAGCCCAGAGTAGTTTAGCCTCCCGTATAATTGTGCAGCGTAACGCATCATGCGCTCAGCTCGCCAATGGAAGGGTTGTCCTCGACATGTATGCCTTCTCTAGGCAGTCGAACTCAGTCTGGAGAAGCCACTTTGAGCCTTATAGCAAGAACGAGCATTCTGGAAGCCCATGGCGGCCATAGCTAAGCGATTTCATGTGCCAATGAATGTATTCAAAGGTTCTTCGAAGGGTGACCCTTGGCCCGTACATCGCTTGTTACTGCAAGGCGTCTTGTGGCGCACGCCCGTGGCTGAATCAATACAAGGAGATCTTCGGACTATCTCTTATTTTCTTTGTTCTTTTGCCCACATCTTTTTAATTCTTCTGTCAAACAGGCGAGAAGGATTCTCATTCCATGCCACATGTAAAAGGTTGCCTGAAATCACCCCCTTAACGACAATTATCTTCCGAAGGCCGATTCGATGTTAGCATCAACTACTCCAAGAAAATAACTTCTTCGTGCTATGCGTAGTATAGCGATAACGAGGTCTACAGAATACTTTATTCAGACGCTGCACCATGTATTTAGCACCCACATACACGTGAATGGCGAGCAAAAGTACCGCAAGAGCATTGAGGGTAGAACTTCACACCGGATCACACCATGTACGCGTAATGGCAGTTCCCTTGACCATTCACCAACATCTAGGCCACGATACTGAAAGAGGGAATCCCAGGATGAGAAGCGCATTGATATGTGATAAGCTGCATAGCTAATTAGTCAAGGTCCAGCTAAACCCGTCTTTTGAAGGATTCTGGGTGTTGTGGATGTGGATGGGACAAAGGAGTTTAGTTTAGCAGGACCGCGATTAGGGTGCAGTGCAACATGTACCTTGTACCGTATCTTATATTGGTAAGAGCTAGATTCGGCCACAGAGAGGAGTTCAGCTGGCTCTGATTGACGGTGGAGTCTATCAGGAGACGGGATGACGAGTGCAAGACGCTGCCAAGCCGAGCTTGACTTACCATGCTCAGGGTAAGTTGGCACCCCACATCTTCATCAGCGACGAACGGTGATGCAATAGCAGAACAATTTCTTAGAATTTGTGAAGAGCCTCTGCACTTGATGGACAGTCCCGAAACGAAGAACTCAGGTTCCATGGCACAAATAAGACCCCACAACGGCGCAATGCAGTCAAAGGTCATACTCATCAGGTATCGTTGCATCCTGTATAAGAGCAAAATGATGTTGTCATTCCAGAATATATAGAAGACCCATTCCCGGGTGTGATGGTGTGAAGAAGAGCTAAGCCATTGCTATGGCCAGCACGAAGTGAAGAAATCGTAAACTTTTTGTATGCGTCTCACGCGTCGAACGCGTAACCCTTTTCCGGAAAGAAGAAAATGCCAACACATCATGCAACTCTCATATCCAATGAAGTCCAAGACGAAGAGAAGTAGAAATATGCCTAAGAAGAAAAGTCACGCGGATGACGGCGCGTCACAGAGGCGACGGAGGCGAGCTGGGGACCAGGGGCAGCCTTGATGGTCTTGCCAGCGTCGTGCCAGTAGAGATTCCACTGCAGTAGCGGGTCGGTGGTGTGATACAGCTCAGTACCCTTCTTTCCAGGGGGCATCTGAGCGCTGTCATCACCACCGGTGACCTTAATATTAAAGGCCTGGGGCCAGAACTGCCTTTGCGAAACGTCGCCGTTGTTGTGGATGGAGACAACTTCAGTGCGAAGAACATAGTTTCCGCTAGGGATTTCCTTGGGGATAGTGACACTTTGCTTGTTGCCGTTGTCGTAAAAGATGGCGTCGGTTCCCCAGTAGCCAGTCTGGGCTTGCTTGCTACCCTGGGAGAAGCGGCCGTCACGGTAATCGATAAGGGCGCTCTCGTGGATCTTGAAGAAATCCAAGTTCGTTTTTACGACGTCTTTGCAATCACCTTTACAGGGTGCTAGGTAGGTTGCGGTCCAGCCATGATGCGAACAGTCCCAACCCTCTTCACCGCCACCACAGCTACCGTCGTGGTGCCATGTGAAGGTCACCTTCTCGCCAGCAGGTGCCTCGACTGTGTAAGGAGATGGTGAGGCGTCCTTGTGAGCAATGATGTCCGGGGACTGAAGTTGATTCCCATAGATTGGCTGGTAGCCCCAGCCCTGATTGGTCCACCAGGCAGGTGACTTATTACCAGGGTCTTGCTTAGAGCTCTGGTAGAACCCATCGTAGGTCTTGCCACCTGCTTCGAACTTCTCGACGGAAGTGTGGCCTGCAACGCCCGCAACGAGCGCGGCTAGAAGGGCGCCGGTTTGGAAGAGTTTGGACATAGTGGTTGGTGGTATGGTTGGTCGGGTTGGTATTGTTTGGTAGTATGTGTCGCGATGAAGTATCGGCTAAGTAAAGAATGAAGAACAGTGAATGGCAATAGCTCCAGAGCTATGTGAAAGAATGACTGGTCAATGAATGACTGAAGAGAGTGACTGTGGATTCAGCGTGGGAAGCCTGGTGAACATTCGAGGGCAAAGTGCGTCCTTTTGTACTGTGCCGATCCGGCGAAAGCTGCTCCTCTCAGACCAGCTCAGTGATGATCCCGAGGTGCCCACAAGTTCTGTTCCTGAACGCCATGGCTGTGATGACGAAGAGGATCAGCGCGCTAAGTCAGGCACACCAGATTCTAGTTCACGCCTCCACACCTGCTGCCCAGCGCGTTGAGCAGCCATTTTTGAGGGGTTCGCCCAATCTGAGATCAGCGTATGTGGGACACAGCATTTGCCATAGTTTCAAAGTGCTGCACCTCATTCCCACCTTCGAAATTTGGGTCTCACCTCGCGCCTTGCTTCACCTCAGAGGTGGAGTAAACGCCAAAGTCTGTCAGTGTCTGGATGTCAGATGCCAGCTCGGCCCAGTATCCGCTATGGGTCCAGGTCGTGCGGAGATTTTGGCATGTGATGGGTCAACGAATCACAGACATGTCGTGTTTGTTCATTTTACGTTTGAAATGACTTGGAAGCGTCGTGGATGGTCGGTTGTTCGGAACACCGTTCGGAGCTGCAGCTCGGCGACATGGTTGCTGCGGAGCTGCCGCTGTGCCGCACATGCCAGCGTTTCAACTACCAGCCCTAGGCGCAGCTGCTATCGATAACTGCACGTCGATAAGTCGAAAGCATCTCAACAAATCCGGATACACGGTTGTGGAGAATGGCCATCCTTGCTGTCGTGAGCGAGGGCGACGTTTGCTTGGGGAGAACAGGATGCCAAGACACGTGGCTTTCGATTCCCCTGCCCCTTGGTCTGTGCCCCTCTCGCCTAACGTGTCGCTCTTCTTGCCACCACACCGTTAGGGTGCCCCGCGAACCGATGCACGCTTCTTGCTTCATCAACTTTAACATCTCGGGCATCAATCAATAACAACAACCGGGTTTGAGGAGCCGATATCGATAAAGAGTACATGCATGACGAAAATGTTGCACATGTGACTATATACGATTCGAAATGTCCACGAGAACGCCTCTTGAGTCTGCATACATTCACGTCATCTTATTTGCAAAGAAGGCCGTAAAGGTGACCAAGATTACGCTATCAATTATTGTTCCGTAAATTCGACGTGATAAAGGAAAGAATATCATCATCCACGATAATTTCACTGCCATGTACTAGTATACTTCCTTGCAATCACGAAATTAAGACTTGTGGTACTAAAACACCTGCCTAAATGCCAGATGACCACAAGATGATTACCGAGCTCTTGAAGGCTTTGGCATGTGCATACATATAGACGAAGGTGCTACAGCTCTCCTGACTGACTGGTTGCGAGCTACATACTATCCATATACAACAACATTCCTGCAGATCAAATTGCAGAACCTGGCGGCAGGATCAGTTGTGAACATGTGTCCGACCCTTACGCACACACTAGTGCAGCTCGTTGTTGGTCATCCGCAAGTCGCCCGACTGTGCACAACATTAGATGTGCAGTCACAGCTCTGCAGCTCCAGGGCGTTGTTAGTATGACTACGTTCCGTATCTTGGTAAGTTGTGGGGCTACAAGTTAGATCGATCTAGATGTCCCACTTTGAGACTCATTTACACGCCCTGCTTGTCTGCGCAGGGTATGCAAACCACGTGTTTTCCGTGAATCGGTTGCCTATGACGAAGTCCGGACCTGCAGCTATAGGAAAGTTGTCGACACTTTGTGGCGAATTCGCAGAGTCGTGACGTTGCTGTAGGAGGGCGGTCACGTAACTGCTGTACATATTTGAGTACTCACCGAAGAGACTGCAGCCTAGCTCTGCTGTGCCACTTACAAGCGTAAGGACGCCGCACATTCGAACTCAACACTGATTTTCACACATTTCATACAGTTCTATCTCGACTTCCCATCGACAGAAGGGCGGACCTTCCAAAGGTTCCTGCAAATGACGTGATGGTATCGAACCTGAGGCATACATCATGACACAATAGTTTTCAGACACTTCTCATTTCTTTTCTATGGGAACGTGAGTGTGCATACCAGTCATTGCGAAGAAACAGTTTACTCCGGCATTGTTGCTCACATCTCCTCTTATCCCTCCATCTTGTCTATTACCATTTTTGTTCCATCGCCTCTAGCACACACTCACTTCCCCGCACAACTCAGTGCCGAAGCGCTGCATGTTCGTCCGCTCGCTCTCGGTTGCCGCGCTGGAGTTTTCGACTCTCAGCCATGTAGTGCTCAGTATGTCGTGAGAGTAACTGCGTGCGACGTCTCGAAAGCTGAGCTGCTAGATGAATGGCATCTTCGTGGCTCAAAGCCTGTGATCTCGCTGTCAAGCGAGCTGCGGCGCCGTCGAATGTCGCCAAATCCTGACGCTGAGCAAAGAGGTTTTGTTCGAGTTGTGTATACTCTGGTTGGCCGAGTAATGCAGTTGCTGGTACAGAAAGAGAAGGGGGGCTCGTAGTCGCTTGCTGAGGAAGACCCTGAGTACGTTGAAGATTTAAGAATCGCTCCTGAATATTGCGGTTTGGTCGAGGTGTGTTTGTTCGTGGCGCATCAGCATGTGCAGCTAGAGGATCCGGAAGACCCGTGGCTCGAGGTGCGTCAACAGCACTGACTCGCTGTGACCTCATTCTGGTACCTGCTCGGGGCCGTCTACGTGGAGGAACCGCCGCTCGATGATTTGAACGTCCCTGTGATCCTCGTGAGAGCGCGCCAGTTATGCTCTGCCGACATGATGGGCAGAGATGTGCGTTCTGCATACCGCTATTGACCCATTCTTGGATACACTTCAAGCCGAACACATGATCACATGGCACGTGTTGCATTCGAATGGCTGGATGGTCACTGTCGTTGTAAGGGTCCTGGCAAATTGGGCACTCTTTATCGTGGCATGCGTCGTCGGCCAGTAGTGTGGTGAAGTGTTGTACCTGGGCTGGGTTTGGTGGCCGTCTTGGACCGGATCGCGGAACGCGTTGAGCAGTCCGGATAGGACCCATCACAACTGGCGTTGGTAACACATGGCCCTGCGATTGCGCGCCATTCGCGGATGCAGCGACTCGTTCGACATTGTCTGCCGAGAGCCTCGAAGATGCGCCGTGATCTTGCCGAACTTGCTGATGAGCAAGCGGTGTAGTCGTGGCTGTGGCATACTCCATAGCCTGCATAAAACTTCGTCTATCTGCGGGAGGCAGCGGGTCAAAAGATGTCGGTGCTGATTCCATGTCACTATGAGCAGCTGACAATGAACGGTCAACTCCACGGGACGATTGCGGTTGTGAAGGCCGACGAAAGTCTTGCGGGGCGTCGTAAAAGAAGCTAGACTGGCCAGTGTATGGGACCATGAGCACGGAAGAGTTTGTGTTTCCCTGGAAGACTGGCTGTTGGAACGCTTCATTGAACCCAAGGTCAAGGAATGAGTCAACAGTGAAGCCTTGATCCTGGAGAGATGTGGTACTCGGCCAATTACCACGAGGATGAACTCCCGTATGAGCAGTGGTGGGTTCGGTCAGATCAGCCCAAATGGGTGTGCGCAGCTCATATGGAAGTGGACAAAATCTCAGCGACTCTGCCCCGTTGTCTAGACGGTTTGCCGTATGTAGTTTTTCGTGCTCCGAGGGCCGCGGTTGTTCGCTGCCTTGCAAATTGCTGGACGGGTAGTGCTGTGCACGATACATCGAATCTTGACCTGTTGGTAGCGGATGTACGTTCACTGTGGTTTGGGTCGCCCTGTGTCGCATGTGGGGTGTTGAATGCGCATGCTCAGACTCCAGAGCATTTTTGGTCGCCATAATCGCAGCAGGATGATTGTGCATCCTGTGCTGGGTAGCTTGCGCAGGCGCAGTTCGATGTTGTGAAAAACCTCCGATCGGCATGTCCTCCTCGACAGCCAGATTGAGCGGCGAATTTTCGTACCAGCTTGGAGCTTGCACCGCTAACCTACGATCTACTCCGTAACCACGTGAAAGAGCCTGATATGGGCCTTCCATGTGGGATTCATAGTGATCGAAGCGACCTCCAGCGTGCCTAGGCATATGAAGGTGGTACGGGTTGAGGCTGGTATGAGGAGCGTTTGTTGTTGAGTTGTACAGAGCTGGGAGACGGAATGGATGATGCTGTTGAGCCTGATGCGCGGCAGCGGCGGTGTTGTTGAAGCCGCTCGTCATGTTGATCTCCAGATCCTGAGGGTTGAGCTTCGCTGGCTGGTAGCTGGCATCGAAGCCCACATTAGGATCGCGGTCTGACATCTTGGAGGGCCCTGCGAGTTCTCAGCTGTCAATTGGGGTCGATGGTGCTTTTAGTAGAGAGGTGATTCGTAGAAAGTGGGGGAAGGAGAAAGGCCGCGACAGATAATGATCTCAAAGCTAGGGCGGAATGACGCGGTGAACCAAGCGGAGCGTGCACTCCGAGGCTGCAGTGCAATCGTGAGAAAATCGTTGATCGTGTGTTGTACAAGCCCAAGTGTTTGCACGGCCGCGAGGCTCGGTGAGAAAGCGAGTAGGCTTAAATGCCCCATAGGATACGGCGACAATTTTGAGAAGTATAAGGTCGACGAGCTCAGAGTCAGTCAGCCAGAAGTACCTATCGCTGTTTGAGATCCTGCCCACGAGATTGACACGAGGGTACGCAATCGGTTGATTTGTGGGTGCGTAAGACTACGCCCTGAATGGATTCAAACAATGCCAGCTGTTCATTGTAGACTGTCAGCAATATAGAGCACATAGATTAGCATTGCCTTCGATGGAGCTACTCCCGTTGTCTTCTCTTTAGGAACCAGTAGCTATGGGGAGGACGCCAGAAAGCTCAACGTATGAGAGGTGGCGCCAACGATTGGATCCCACACGAGTTCACGTCTACTCGAACAACGATGAGAGCGTTCAACTCACTTCGGGTTTTCTATATACTCACTCGGACGGAACGCTTAGGTGGGAAGCTGATAGTGATTACGTTTCCACGCGGACGAGCCCTTTCACATGAATTTCAATGCAAACGGCAGTGAAGGAAAAAGAGGGGCGGTGTGGACGGAATCGTGGTCCATGCTTCATGGCTAACCTATCTCAATTAGCGACTGATCATCAAATTCTTGCTGGACATTGGTGCTGCAGCAGATGCGGAATGAGTCTGTAATTATCACTATGTTCATGTAAATGCTTGATTACTTGTAATGCCACCTAAATTGCACGTCACATGTCGATGAGCGGATGTGATTTATGCATATAGATGTTATCGCATTTCGCACATATTAACATTAATGCCTTCCCATTGTGTTCATTTTTGATCTGTTCCCTTCAGTAAAATAATAAGAAAACGCCGGGCTATGCTTTGCGGGTTTCGCGTTGTCGTACAAGCTCCATAAGAGAGCCATGCTTGGAAAAGTTTGCTCCTCATGTCATAATGTTCGTCCCGCCCTTGCATATTGGTCGTGGTCGGTCATAGAGGCATACAGAGTGCATGTGGTGTGGGTCCAACTGGTAGTTGTGCCGACTAAGTACGACGTACTTTCTGGACAATGAAAACGCCAACCTCCAATCCCTCGATCGGCGCACCGTCGTCGTATTCCCGTGTTGAAACACCTTCTAGGAGCTCTTGGAGAAGGTGCGGCCCCGTGAGCTCACCAGTAGGGAGTTTCTTCGACTTGCGGAAGTACTTTGTGATGGCGTCTCGTATGCGGGGCTTTTCCTGTTTGATCCACCAGTCATCTGCCCAAGCCGCTCTGCTTGGTGCAAACTCTTCTCTCGATGCATGAATAACCTCGTAGGAGCATCTCTCGTCAGAACTGCTCTTCTGATTGTTCGTATGGTCAGCGACCTTGGCGCAGAAAGACCTGACGTGCTCTTCCAGCTTATCATATTCGTCAAGATAATTGACTGCAGTCATTTGACCAATGCTCCTGCCCAGTTCTGAGTGAAGATCGTGCACAACTGTCACACTCCGGAGAAGCGGTTCTATGATAGGACCGAGGTACTTTTGCATGAACGTCCTGGCACCAGTCTTGGTAGGGTAGATGAAAAACAAGACACCGTTGTCAATGGACAACTCACTAAGTCGATCGTACAGCAAGGAGCGGCCTCTGAACGTGAACATCTCGGCATACTCGTTGGTGTTGGTAGGTGGGATGTAACGCTCCACCACAGAGACATTAATGCTACCAGGTGGTACGACAGGTCTTGGAGATGGCGGGAGAAGTTTCGAGTCCAGTTGGTAGTCGGGAATCGCAACAGCGCTGTCAAAAATTTTGCTTGTGAAGTATTCATCACCTCCGACAGCAGGTCCAGGCGTTGAAGGTGGTGACTTTGGAAGATCCGAAAGGGTATATCGGCCGGGCAGAGCATGAAACACGTTGATCCATGCGGTGCTTGTCGTGGTCCTGTCGTGAATAGCGGCAATCAACTGGCCAAAGAGATGGCCGGTCAATGATGGGCATGGTAACGCATGGGACAGAACTTTGACCGAAGTCAGTTCCAGACATCCCGATCTCTCAACTACAGAGCACCCACGCATCGGAGAAGTGAATTCGATTGTCCATGCACATACTGATGGTATTCTTGGCCTCTTCAACCCACACCGAGATGCTCATGGCGTCACCAAATTCAGCAGGCGTGGGCACAATGATCGGCGCTTGACCTGGTGCAGCCGCACTAGCAGTGAGGGTAAGATTTGGCGACGCGCCGGGATCAGAACTGGGTGGAGAGCCTATTTCAGCCGGCCTCACGGTCAGGAGGGGGCCCCAATGGAACGTCCCCGGCTCCGATGGAGGGGTGAAGGTCGAGATGATGCGGTCCACTTGCGCTCTGGCGGCTTTGGGACTAGATACAAGCGATTCGGCGGCCGTGTCAGCCTGTGGAGGATGCTCCAGTGGCGGGCTAAGTGCATGAAGAGGATCCTCAGGCTTTGAGAGCGGGCCAGCACCTAATGCTGTGGGTGAAAACGAGTGACTGAATTGGTAGGGAATGCGGTCCGGGTGGGGTGCGGCAATGCCGAGTACATCAAACGAAGGGAGGCGCAGATTGTGCGCTGTTTTGATTACTGTGGGCGAGGGCAGTGAAATGTTGGTTGAGGGGAGAGCGTCTGCAAAAACTAAATCGAATTGCTGTCGATCTTCGTGGATCTGGAACGGAGTCTGGGCGCAAGGCAACGGGAGGGGCTGGGGTTGTGGGAAAGAAACATCGAGAAGGGTAGGAGACTCGTCTATGTTCGCGTCGGCAAACCCACGAGTTGTCGGTGCATCGGGGCAGGAAGCACCGTCCGGTGTCGCTGGGATAGCAGAAGAGGCAGCAGCTCTTGCCTGTCCCTGCTGGGTGCAGGTGTCGAACAGACACGTCCCGGGCAACGGAAATAACAAAGGTTGGGTCATCTCAGAAGACGACTGTGCTCACGCGGTTTCGATGTCTTGCAGCCAGGTCAGTCGCGCTATGGCCGCGATAAGGTGACGGAGCGGAGCAAGGAAGAGAGACGTGGCTGAAAGATCTGACAAGCGAGCTGGCGAATCCGAGTGTGTGGCTCCGCTGGTACTCGTACCCCCAAACCGATGGCTTGTCACTGTGTAGTCCGTGTGTCGTGGTGAAGGGCGGGGGGTTTGGGCCAAGCCTTCCTCACTTGGGCGGGGCGGCAGCAACGGCAGCGGAGGATTGCTGGAAAGGATCAAGGAAGGAGCGAGTCGTGTGCTGATACAGGCAAATGAATGATTCGATCGCGGCGGCTAGCTGCAGGTTATGGGTAGTCGAGCAAGTGTCCTTGCGAACGAAGGCAACACGATCCGATGGCCGCCGGCGTTGTCTGCAGATGTTTGTGTGGTGCAGAAGTGAAAGCCGTTTAGCCCTATCATGCCGAGGCCGTGCGCGTCCAGGGTCCACCAAAGGACCGACGATCTAGGCCTGAACTCTACCTGCATCTTCCTTCACTGTGGCCTGACTTGTGTCGTGTCTGTTCTCACCCTGTCGCGCATGTCAACCTGTGTGTAGAGCAGCTGTCACCTGTCTTTGTAGGGTTCAACCGTACCTTCGCCTGCTCATCGCTATGTCTGCTCTCCCATTTCGCAACCACATCCCTCTGCGCAGCTGCCAGAAGAGTTGAAAAATGATTCAGCCACATGGCAGCTCTTCTGCCATCTCCCGAAGAGGACCTTGCACGGCTCTGCAGCAAAGTCTCCTATTGGGCCGGCGTGTTGGCCCTCATTAATAATAGCTCATGGACGCCTGTACACCAGCAGCGCTACCCTCGGTAAATCTCTTACATCCCCACTGTGCGAAATCTTCCTTCAGAGAGACATTTCCGCAGCAACATCAATGTACCTTGAATCTTTGCAGCCTGGTACATTTGTTGACGAGGATTCAGCTACCTGCAGCACTAGCGCCGCCCATGGTCCGGTCTTGCGCTACCAAGTCAGTTTCCGTCGAGCTCTAGGGATCACCTAGGCAGGGGCCATTAGAGTCTGGACCTGCACCTTGTACATGACTGCACGCTGACCTGGCAAAGTTGTTCGATCATAAGCTCTTCTCAAGCCCAGGCGCGGCTTTTTCACAAAGGCATCCTTATCGATGATGCTGAAGGCTGCGCACATCGACGATCGTCTTGACTGACTACAAGTATACTCGGGCTGAATGGTGGGTCGAAGGGCTTTGGCGCACAGCTATGCTTCGACGAGATTGATCTGAGAGCTCTGATAATGATCGACGTGCACTTCGATAACTGCAGGTCGCCTGCTACAGGCAAGCCACACTTCGGTATGCCGTCCACCACCAGTGCCCAAGGAATGTGTTCATACAGTATTTGCCAAGGCCGGATACCGAAGGACGCGATGTCACCATGTGCAGGGCACCGGTGCTTCTTCAAGGCAAACGCGCCATATATCACGATCCTCGCCGGTTTGTAGAGCACTCTTGTCAAAATAAGCTCATGCAGATGGCGCTAGGGGCCGCGATGGGAATGTAAACTGTCAGCAGGCTGCAGATCCAGAGTTCGGCGCAAGTTCTCAGTGCCTAGTGTCCCAGACGATGTTACTGCTCGTGATTTAGTAGATGCGTTGATTTTAGGGAAGCCAAGGTAGGCTCACCGACCTATCAGCGCTTGCACGGTACGCTTCTGTTCGTACCTATCAATCGGCTCTTTCTTGTCAGGTTTTCTGGTAAAGTCTGCGGCTCTTTGGATAGGGGGGTTGACATCGGTCTCTGCCTCAATTTCAGTGCTCATGGTCCGGTGTCCCTTGAGGTGAGTCCTTGAGGATGGGGTCGCACGAGCGTCATCGGGGGAGCCAGCTGCAAAACCAGAAGCGGTGAAGGCAGCGAGTGCGAGTGTCCGCGGACTCCATGGCAGCGCGTCTATGTTAGGAGCAACAGACCTCGTTGCAGCAGACAGCACAGGTAAAGGTGAAGTTAGAGTATGCGAGCGTATCTCTACAGTCGTTCCTTCCTGAGTGGGAGGAGGCCATCTACGCAAGCCAAGGCGCTAAATCCAAAACTTTCCTCTTTGACCAATCTTCTTACTTACCCTTGAACACCAACGCCATGCAATATCAACGCCGACAGGTGCTCTAGAACACGACACTGGGCTTTGAAGTGCATACACAATTCTTTGCATGACATCATCGCAGCTGTCTACAGCCACCTGAGGCGGTGCACAAGACCTCACGATGCATGTAGGTAGTGATCTTCCATTCATGATTTACATCTGCGCGCCTGCGTAGTACTCCAAAAGATCAACATCATTTCTGTACTACAGCGTTTTGTCATCCATATCATATCTTATTCAATTTCCTGCGCACTCTTACGTTGCCATCACTGGGATTTTGAAATATTATTTGGCTCTCTTACAGCCCTCAAACTTCCATACCTAACACCCTCAGATCAAAAACCCCCAGTCCGCACTACTCTCAAACCACGAAGTCCTCCAGCACCTCCGCCAAGAAGAAGCAGAATACCACGGCACGGATGGCACGGACCGTAAACGCCACTTGCCATCCGGCCTGAACCACATGTTGCGAGATGTAAGTAGAATATCTAACAGCCTCTAATTCACCACGATAACAAGAGCCATATCAAACAAAACCTAATGATGTCACAGGGCCTAACCTATCTCCAAACCCCAGACTACAACACCGCCGCTCTGGCGGACACTCACCCCGCTCGCCCTATGACGCTTTACAAGGGTCCTCATTCTCTCTACCATACCTTGGCGCCTCACTACCGCCTTAATAAAGCGGAGTACTTGCAGCTGTACAATTTGCGACCTTCGACACAGGTCACGCTGGAACTGGTCATTGAAGAGGTAAGTCACGTCTTCACCGAATAACCACTCGTAAGATGTTGGTGGGAAATGCCCTGCAGGTCAGAGCTAAGGTATATACAGGCCAATTCGCGCTTCACAGATGACCAACTCCACGAGATCCTGGCCAAATGTCAGCAGGTATTCGACGAGGAAGAGGCGGAGATCCCTGATGGCGTGGAGGACATTCAGATGGCTAAGGTCAAGGACAAGTTATTGGGCGCAGCAAAGAAGGGACGGAAGAAGGGTGGGCGAAAGAAGGCTTGAACATCTATCACACCTTGGGAACTCACGAGGACGTTTGAACTTTTTAAATGTGGAATTGGTATGCTCGCAGACTAGCGGGTATTCTTCCCTTCCACCACCAGCCATCATGCATGAAGAAAGAAGAACCGTAATGAAGCGATGAGATAGTACACAATATGTCGCAAACCCATTTATGCGCCAATCCATTTGAACGCCGGCCCCATTTTGACATGACGTGAATCCAAACATACAATGTCAGACGAAGACATAAGATCGAGGAGCAAGGGATTTCTAATCCTTGCTCTTCTTCTTTTTCTTCTTGCTATCGCCGTCGACGTCGTCTGCTTTTCGCTTCTTCGTCTCCTTCTCTGCCTTCTTTGCTTCTTTAGCAGCCTTCTTCGCCTCTTTGGCTTCTCGCTTGGCTGCTCGTTCGGCTTTGCGTGCCTTCTTGGCTTCCTTCTCGGCTTTCTTTGCGGCCTTGCTGTCACCCTTGGGTGTGGCCTTGGCGTCCTCAGAGTCGGAGTCGGAGTCGGACGCGCCTGCATCTGCGTCGGCCATCTCTTCGTCGCTATCGACTTCTTGTACGAGCTTCTTGGGTGTTTTGCCGTTGGTCTTCGCTCCCGTTGCCGCTGGCTCATCGCCGGTCAGACCATCGGCATCAGCATTGTACTTTCGTGCCTCCTTCACGTCCCACTTCTTCTGTCCGAGCGCGACCGAGTTGGCGTTCTCCTTCAGGCTCTTCAGTGGCTTGCCCTCAAGAGCGCGCAACCTCCTCTCGATTCCAAGGCGTGCATCGCGACCCACTTGCGACTTCTCCTCTTCAGTGGGCTCGTTGGAGGTGTCTTCAGAAGAAACACCCCATGTGCTGAGGGCATCGATACGGAGACCGAGGGCAGACTTTGCGGCGAGCATACGGGCAATCTTACCCTTGTTCTTGCCAGTTGCTTGACCGATGAGAGAAGCGTGGTAGATGAGCTATTGAAAGTTAGCGACTGAGGTGCAGTTTTCGATGCTCGCTCTACTTACTCCGTACTTGGGAGTGTCGTGCTTGGTCTTCAGGGCGCGGAACAGAGCCTTCTCAGCACCGAGAATCTGGATGGTCGAACCGGGCGACTTCGCAAGGTTCATGAGCGAGCCAGCGTGCGCTATGAGGCGCGCACCGACAAGCTCACCCACAAGCGCAGTCAGGTTAGGAGCAAGTGCTTGCATGCGTGTAGAGAGGTAGTTGCCAAGGTTTTGGCGATGTCTAGCAAAATGTCAGCAAATTGCCATATTTGATCAGAAGGCCACACATACTCAGTGAGGTCAACGACCTGCTCAGCCAGAGCGCTAGTGGCCTCCAAGTCCTCATCGGTGATCTCAGTACCCATACTGATCTCAGCAGCAGCCTTGACGGCGGCCTCAATTTCTTCAGGCAGGATACCCGAGAGATCAGTCTCTCGTGCGTTTGTGCGGAAGCCCATCTTGAGCACGACCCTTGAGTAGGCCATGTTGTCGTTCAAAATCTTGGCAAGCTCGGGGAAATGCCATCCATACCACTCCTTGACTCTCATAGCATATGTGTTGAGCTGCTTGTCGAGCACATCGAGACTGGCGATACTTTGGATGATCATGGTGTCGACCTTGTCGGGCGAGAACTTGAGCTTGTGGCGCGAGAGCGAATGCGCGAGACCGAGACGGGTGGAGTCCATCTCGGCGGGAACGAGGTCAGGAATGAGCGAAACCATGTGCTCGCGAATCGCACGGTAGACATCCTGGGTTGACGAGTCGGAAATGAGCTTTAGTGAGAGTCCGGGAACTTGCGCGATGGCATTGGCGAGCTTGGGGTCAGCAACAGCCACTGAAAAAAGTTGTTAGCACTCTTGTTCCACGTCCAGCGTTGCGCGCACAAGCGTACATGATGCCTTGGTCTCATCCTTGAGCTCCTGCAGCAGGTTTGACAGCATGGAGCTGACCTTGCCGTCGGTCAAGGCCGCGGCTTCGTTAAGCGCAGTGACGGCATTTTCGAATTTCTGAAACTTCTTGAGCTTCAATGAGTCGACCAGCGAAGACACGTCTTTGGGCGAGTCGTCCTTGCCAAAGAGCTTCTTGTCCTTGGACTTGAGCAGGGCATAACCCGCGCTGCGAAGTTCCGTTAGCTCTCCTGGTCTCGCATTGGAGCTCTGCGCACGCGGCACACGTACCTCGTCTCGGTGAGGATGAAAAGACCCATCGTTGCTGCTGTATGTGCTTTCCGTGCGGGGTGTTCGGTCGCTGCTGCCCCTGGAAGCTGTTTATGCGCGAAGTGTGGAAGGGTCGCGGGTCTTGGATGCAGTTGTGCGGCCGAAGCTTGCTCGCGAAAAAAGTTCGAGTTGCCAAGCCTGAGGAAGGAGCTAGCCAGAGCTAGTCTGAGCTAACCTTGGAACGCACAAGCGCCGGTCCAGCTGCAGCCTCGCGAACTCCACTCATACAGCGAGGAACGACACCTCGAGGTCGTTGCATCCATGATGAGCTGAACCGCCAAACACCGGCAGGGGCACACTCACACCTCACAATGTCGACCAGCGACCGCAAAGTCCCCGTCTCCCTCAACCGCGCCGCCCGAGGCACGACACCTCGCGTGGCAGACCTCGCTTCCACCCCCGAGTCGCCGCGAACACCGCTTGGTCGCGCTACATCCTATGGCTTCGGTTCACCCGGCGGCAGCTTCCGCACCGACGACGAATATGTCGTAATTGAGGTCGGGGCACGTTTTGTGCGCTGTGGCTTCCCCGGCGAGAGTGCCCCGCGCTGCACAATTCCCTTCGGGCCCGACCAGCAACGGAGAGTGGGGGACTACAGGCAATGGGACCCTGAATATGGCCAGCAGAGACAGAAACGAAGGAGGGGGCAGGACTGGGGCCAGGAACACGAACTCTACCGCGTGGACCTGAGCACTGTGGACCTGGGGCTGGTCGAGGACAAGTTCGAGCGGGCCATGAGAGAGGCATACAACAAATACTTCCTTCTCGATAGCAAGCCGCGGCGGATCCTGCTGGCCATGCCAACACGCATGCCCCACGCCCTCATGTCTACACTACTCGACGTGCTTTTCACGAGCTTCCAGGCGCCCAGCATTACCCTCATGTCGAGCCCCGTGCTGTCGACCGTTGCTGCCGGACTACGATCAGCGCTGGTCGTCGATATCGGCTGGTCTGAGACAGCAGTCACGGCTGTCTATGAGTACCGCGAGGTGCAGGAAAGGCGCAGTGTGCGGGCCGGCAAGATGCTGAGTGAAGAAATGGCCAAGCTCCTGAATACTGAGCTGGATGACAATGCAGACTCTGGTTCGCCCAGAGCTGATGTCTCTTTCGAAGAAGTAGAGGAAGTTTTGACACGAGTCGGTTGGTGCAAGGCCAACCCACGATCAAATCGAAGAACGCTATATTTCCCTGCGCGCGAGGCACCTGTGTTGGAGGAGTTTGAAGATGCCGTCGAGTCGCCGCCGCCCACTATAAACGTTCCGTTTCCCAGACACACCCCTCCTACTGAGCTGAGAATACCTTTTGCATCTCTGGCCAAGCCGACCGAGGCCGCATTGTTTGCGCCAGACATGACGTTGAGCGAATTCGATGATGAGGATCTTCCCCTACACTATCTCATGTACCGCGCCCTGGTTCAGCTACCTGTAGATGTTCGACGTCTTTGTATGTCACGTATAGTTATCACGGGCGGTGTATCGAACCTTCCTGGCCTGAAGACGCGCCTGTTAAGAGAGCTCGAGGCGCTAGTGTCAATCCGGGGATGGGATCGAGTGAGAAATTATGGGAAAGCAAGCGCAAAACACGAAGAACGCATGCGAGCACGTAAGGAAGATGCTGAAGCGCGTCGAGAAGACGCAGAATTGAGGCGACAGGAAGGGGAAGATGTCATCTCTGAATCTCTCGATCCGGGTGCACCTCTATCCTCTGTACCCGCTGGTCTGCGAGAACCTGAAGTCGATAACATGGACGCCAAGATGGAACAACTCGCCATCCGAACTGGCCCACCACGTGCCTGTTTCATTGGAGGGACTATTCGAGGAGTCGAGACTCTAGGTGCATGGGCTGGTGCGAGCCTGATAGCCCAACAACGCGTCAAAGGTATTGTCGAGATCGAGCGCGAGAAATACCTTCAACATGGCCTGCAGGGTGCAAGCCGCGAAAAGGAAATTTCCGTCGTACAGCAGCGACAAAGCATGGGTCCCGGGCTGGCAAAAGGAGGCGGAGAGAGAGCGAGCTGGACTCTGGGAGTGTGGGCTTAGAGTGTCGTTGCAGCATCTGTGAGCGTTCTTGCATAATTTGATACCCCAATTTACACCCGATTCGAAGACTTCTGCCACACATTGGACAGTTCTATACAATCATACAATGACTGGAAACTGATGGATCATCTCTGGAGTTGTAAAATGGAGCGATGTCATAGGAACTGAGCTGGCGCGTTACTACAGGCACTCAATCTCCCGAACGAGCAAAGCCAAACAACGAAATCAAGCGATGTGTAGCTGGATCTGCCCCAACAGGACAAACGCCCGCCCGAGGCGCTCACCAATATCTCACGTCACAATCACTGCTGGACTTCCTTACTAGTCCCAATGTATGCAGCAAATCGAAGCTCACTGGTCACTGCTCTTGTCGCGTGCACATCAAGACTACCACACTCACGGCTTATACTTATGGCTAGCTCCACAAGTCTACAATTGACAATTCCTGAAAGTGTACAGACGAAGGACAGCGACGAGAATGGGTGAGGCCACCATATTCGGCTTGAGATCTGTTTCAGCCTGACCTCGTGCGTGCACAAGCGAGACGGGACAGCAGAATCGGCCAATAGCCCAAGGCAGTAGCTGAAGAACGTGGGGCGGGCATGCACAAGATTATCGGCGCTGGCAATCATTCAGCTGAACAAGTGAACAATTCAACTATTGGACAAGCCTGTAAACATGCAAGCCATTGGCTTGTCAACAAGTGAACAGCCAATCAAGTACGATCTGGTGTCTTTTAAAGTCGTCCACTTGTCCGTCTTCGAGGTCCTTCGAGGTCCTTCACTATCCTACACAGCATGAAAGACGAGGGATCAATGAGTCCTCCACATTGCACAGAGGGTCCTCCAACAACTTTTCTGTCAAGCTCCACCCTTGAGGACGACTTTTCGAACTTTGATACACTGTACCCGCCGCTCGAAACAATTGGTCATCTTCCCTGTTGGCCAATACCCTCAAATCCAACAGACCACCTTTCTAGCTGGCAACCTGGTGCATCAGGCCGTGCGCATCCGCTATATGCTGGTGACTCCCTGAGTACCTACTCTAGCACACAGATCCCGCAGGTATTGTCCTCACTGACCTGCGTGTTTCTTATCACTTATCACTTTGGCAGACTTCATATACTGAAATTATTGACACGTCATCCAATCCGCGGACTAACCCACTTACTCATGCAACAACATCTAGTGATCCTAAGGTCTGGCAATTGGCTCCCAGGGATGCGACCAGCAGCTTTGCTTCCACAACACTGAGCACCGGATCACTGATAAAACCATCTGAACCTTCTTTTGCTCCTGAGTCTCCAAAGCCAGGCCACTCTTTGAGATCAAGGAAGAATAAAGGCGCTACAAGGCTGCATCCTACGATGTACGAGTGTCCATTCTTCGTCTACCAGACGCAACACAAGTTACCACGTACCTGTGATGGCCACAAAGCAAAGAACTTATCGCAGTTGCGCACACATCTGACAAGACCTGGTAGAGGACACCGAGTACATTGCAGCTTCCTCCAACAATGCACCGTCTGCCATGATGATTTCCTCGATGAACGCGTTCTCGTTCAGCACAATCAAAACTGCAAGAATGTCAGGGGACAAAGGCGGGGGTGCCGCAGCCGATGCATACTATCCTGTCTTCTGCAACAACATCTTGGCGAGTAAGAACATGACTCGGCCTATGCGGCCTAGTAAGGGTCCTCTTCACTCTGGCTTTCTTGTGCTGACACAACTTGAAGAGGGCTTGGCGGCCCCTATCCAACAAGCAGACTATGAGGACAACATCACGCCACAAGGCCAGTCAACTCTAGAAGAGCAACCATACTTTGTTCCCGGTGGTTCTAGTGAGCAATCGGGCTCGATTACACACACAATCTCCCATCAGTCGTCGCCACCACAGTGTATAGGCACGTGGCCAAATGTTTTGCCCGATTCAGAACGCTTCTTGAACGTAGGACAATACACGCTGCTCTTCGAAGCATTTCTGACTGATATGGATAGTAGAAACGCGACCCGCTCAATAGACCGACACCCCAACATCGAGCTGACAATATAGCTTTCGGGCTCCCAAGGGACGCTGTATACATACCAGACCTGATTTTGGATCAAATTTCGGAAGAGCGAGACCACAATGATCATGTCAATACGGACCCCATGTCTTTGCGCAGGTTAATACCTGATTTGTCTCCAAATCTCCGGAACCGATTGCTTCCAAGGCCTACCTCATCGTAAGTATTTCCTTTGCTGCTGTGAAGATTTTCCTAACAGCAACACAGAGATATCCCAGATAGTCCATGGGCCTCCAGTGTGTGGAATCAGAATCCATTGTTTAGTTACATGGGCAAATCACATGCCCGTACAACCCAGTATGATGTCGAGCACCTGTGGAGTCCATACCTAGAAGACTCTCGGGCATCCGATGCCTCGCATAACCAGCATGATGATGGTTTGACAGACTCGATTGTGTCAACGCATCCTCCAAAGTCCCAAACTAGACAGGTTACAATACCACGAAACGACCCATGCCATTCCTTTGAAGGTTGTCCTGGATCTCTATACCACGATATGGCGTCTTCTAGAGCTACGCTACGATCCTATTCAGACCACTTGGAAGTACCTGAAAAGTGTGGGCATTCGTCAAAGACCTCAGATGCATCTAGCACGTCAATACAGTCGACTGCGTCATCGTCACTGAGCACCACATCCTCATGTGAGGATGATGTTCTTCTTTGTTCTGTCCCAGTTTGTCTCATGACCTTTACGGGTAAATATCGTCGGGGAAATCTGATGAGGCACGTGCGGCTGAAACACGCTACTCGCGATGGAAGCAGAGAGTATCGTTGTAGTACGTGTGAGAAGATATTCTTACGACCAGATGCTCTCTTAAAGCACTCGCGTAATCGGCACCCCGAGCTTGATCTACCATCACCCGTACCTCGAGGTCGAATTAGACCTGAATAGATCCGAAACATCACGTACATTACAACAAACCATCACCCAGCAGGGATCCTTCGCAAATCGTGCACATGAATTTCTTTCTCGAAGACGTCCTTCACTCGTAACCTTCCTCACAAGAACTGATGCTCACCAAACCCCAACGCCATCATAACCCCCTCCAACGCCTCCTCCCCACCATCCAAATACACCGCCCCCATCAGCGCCTCCACAGCCATAGCCACCATCTTATCTGACACCACCACCGTCCCAGGATTCTTGATCACATAGGTATCGACACCGAGACGTCGACCCAGTTGAGCAAGCGTTACATTGCCACATTTGTCGAGACGTGCTTGACTCCACTGACCTTTCACTCGCTGGAAGCCTGCGTCCCACCACCACCGACACAGGATTGCGTCCATCCGCGCGTCCCCAAGAACAGCCAGGGCATCGTTACGCTGGAGCACGTGGGATTTTGCGTTGTAGACAAGAGGCAGGCCAGTATTGTTGAGGGCTTCGAGGAGGAGAAGACGGTTGGTAAAGGTATGGGAGAGTAGCGCCTCGCAGGCGGAGAGTATGAGCGCAGAAATGCGGATTGACTGGGTTGCCATTGTGGTATGGAAATCTTACAGGGAGGGAGAGACGCATTCATTTAAGACCAGATTTGTTTGATGATATGATATTCTCGTTGTTGATGGAGTGTGCTATATCCTTCTGGAAAGTTTCCAGGATGCTATGATTGAGAGCAGCGCGAGGACGCCCTCGCAATCGAACTAATATTATTACTGGGCTTTTTCGTGGTGTATGACCGCAAAATTCCGCCAGCTTACTTTTCAAGCAACAATTCCCATATCCCAATGGTATCTCAGTCCTCAAACCAAAACGCCTCTTCCCAAAAGTATTAGTCCTCAAAACTCCATGCTAAATGGGCCGCTAGAATGCTCAAAAAAGCTACAGTGACAATGCCAAGAGAACAAAAAACAAAAAACAACAATCAACACGCAGTATCGATCCAGAGCCTGTTTTTTGGCTTGTCGCGGCCGCTTGCCCATCGCTTCCATTAGGTCGAGCGCTCGCGGCCGCCGTACCAGTCATCCTTTGACTAGGCGTTGTGGTTGCTGGGAAGAGTGCGGTGGTTGTGCTACGACCCGAGCTGCCGTATACCAGTTGTGTGGCTCCAGGTGCGAGGCTTATAGTGGTACCACCCACGACAATCGTGCCGCCTGGAGTAAGCGTTTGCCCATCGACCACATATGTAGTCCCAGATACGGCGGTATATGTCTGCGAACCAACGGTGAGTAAAGGCGCATTGGTGAGTGTATTCTGGGTACCGGGGGTGAGGAAACTCGTCTGCCCGTTGACAACAATTGCTGTTGCGCCAGGGGCCAGAGAAATGGTGGTGCCAGCGACCGTGATAATACCGCCCGGCCGTAAGGGTGGAGGAGCCAATGAGGTAAGTTATTCCTGTGCCAGGGAGCGGCTTGAAAACACTATTGCCGATGGTAATCAGCGGAGCAGCAGTGTCTTGAGCAGCCGCGATATTGGCCAATGTGGAAGTCACTCCGTTTACTACCACAAACGATGCTGAAGGTGCCAGGGAAATGACTGTGCCAGAAACCGTAATTGGCTCTCCTCCCGGAACCAGTGTCTGGCCAGCAATGACAAATGCACTCCCAGATCCCGAGATTTGAGAGAAGACGCTATTGCCAATGACAATGCTGGGCTGGGCATTCGATACTGGAGGATTTTCGACTGCTGAAGTTACGCCATCAATTACAATTGAAGAACCTCCGGATAGAAGAGATATGGTAGTGCCTGAGACAGTAATGGCTTCGCCTCCGGGTGCAAGCGTCTGTCCCTCAACGACAAAACTGGGCCCAGGTTTGGCATTGTTCTGGTCCCCGACCGGGATATTCGCCGAGGGTAAAGCGACGATGGTAGTTCCGCCGATGACTATATCAGGTCGCTGTGTAGCGACATTTGTCCATTCGGGGCCTGCGACTGGGAAGAATTGGGTTGAACCACCGACGACCACAAACGATGCAGAGGGAGCCAAGCTGACTACTACACCATCAACAGTCGCCGTGCCGCCTGGTGTTAGAGTTTGGCCCGGTGCAACGAGGAATTGGGTGGCAGCATTGGCTGTCAATGTTGAGGACCCTATCGTCAGCACTGGCGGAGGTCGTGGTGGAGGATTGTCGAACACTTGCGGTAGCAGTAAAGTGGTTGAACCGCCCACTATGATAGCTGTAGCGGAAGGGACTAGTGAGATGGGAGTTACACCTCCTACAACGACTGCTGGTCCTCCTGGTTGCAGTGTTTGCGAGCCGATGACTATCACAGATGACGGTTCGATGACTACCGGTAAAGACCCAACGCTGCCCACAATAACCTTAGTTGGCTGAGGTACATTCTGGTTTTGCGCATCGTTACCATTAGGACCACGTTGGTTGGTGTTGACATTACTGGCTGCTGTTGCTTGAACAGAGTCCGCACTGGGACGATTGTTGGGATGTGGTGTTGGCTGGGCTACATCGCCAGGAAGATTCCAATCATCAATGGTCAAGGGCATCCCCTCTGTTGTACCGTCGTTGTTGATGTTGAAGTTGACCGGCGGATCATCCCAGCCAATGGCTGTCGACTCAAATTGAATCAGATTTGGATTCCAATTGGGGAGATTTACATAGTACAGGTCTACGACAATCAAAACCTCTACAGTGGCCAGAAGCTGTCCGGAGTCACAGTCTGTTTGAGTGATCTGCTGCATAAATCCCTCTGGAAGGGATCCTGATGCTGAAGCTTCATGCTGAACGTCTTTTACCCAGTACGGATACACGTGAGCAGATGGTAATTTGACGGTTTCTGTGGAGCTTGCATGCTCAATTTCGTATGCAGTGAAGTAAACAAACGGGGTCGCCGAAACTTGTTCAACGGTACTATTAGGCGCAATGGTAACGGTGCGTGTCGCTAAAGGCATGTCGACATAGATGTCATATGAGCCAACATCTGACATGGGAATGACGCCGCCAGGAGGGAACGGCGCGGCCGCTGTTCTATATACGAGTGATGTCGAGGCCGCTGTGGGCTTTTCGCTGTATTTCAGACAGAACGTGTATGTCCAGTCCGTCCCCGGTAACGGAGAGTAAGCCATTGTGCAGGCAAAGTCAGAGACAAGAGCACTGGCAACGTCGAAAGTCTTAGTCGCCGGTATTAATGTATAAGAAATCGCTTCCGAGAAATTTGCATATTGTGAGGTTATCGTACCGACCGGATGCGAGTATGTGGCCGGGTACCAGTAATCGATACTTGCACTGGGGATGTTGATGGTGCATGATGCGTTTGAGTTACGAGTTGGCTCCAGTAGTGTGGCATCGGTCCAGGAACCGGAGTCGGGCGATATGGGCTTGATTGACGCATTGTATACTGGTTGTGTAGTGTTCGAGTTGATTGAAATTGCCGATCCACTCGATCGCGCTCCAGTTGGGTGCGCGTAACCATATTCGTCGGACGCGCTGCTCTGAGCACCAGCCAGGTATGGGCCTCTTGAAGATGATGCTACTGCTGGTAGATCTGTAGAAGGAGCAACCAAAGATAGACTTGCCAAAACAGTCACATTTGAATATGGGGCTACATGGCTTGATTAGCACGCGCAAATACGAAGCCTCGCAGCTTGCTGACGGATCGATCTCACCACTATAATTCGCGCTACCACGACCATGGAACACTGCCGCTGCAGTACTTGATGCGAACCAGACTGCGGCAAAGAAATTATGTAGTGACATGCCTTTTGTAAAGTGCTGCTCACGCATGCACTTTACCCAGAGTGAAGAGCGTCGTCACAACAGAGTCGTTCCAGCGAAAATGACGGCAAGCGAGTGCAGCCAGGGGTAATTAAGAAGCGGGTCAACGCTCTCTGGCTCCGACCGACGGGACCGTCACTCGATGGTCCCGTTATGAGGCGTCGGTGCAAGCGCGATCAACGCGGGAAGGACTGGACCCAAGTCGATTTCGCGAAGTCCGAGGCAGAACGTAACTTACATGGCACTCAGTACAAGCGACTTGAGACTAGATGAACGTCACCACGTGTCAAAGGCCATTCCACCAATTACTCGTCGAAGGATTCGCAGACAGCATGCCCTTTGGGTATATCTTACATGGTGCGGCTGACTGCAGGTCCAAAGTGCCAAAGCCTCTACTGGGAGGTGTGGGGACACAAGCCACAAAGCCCGGCCCTCGCCTTGCCTAGCATGGTCGGTTTCTTGTATTTGTGTGACTATCCACATTCCTTCCATCTCTCAGTTTTTGAGAAGGTTTGATTGCACTTTATGCGCTTACGTTAGCTACAGCACAAGTTTCTTTCGTTGCGGCTCTTAGAGGAGATTAGGATGCCACGTTCACGATATGCAAGTCAGCTGGTGCACCAATGGGGCAGCACGCCAATACTATGGGACAGGACATCCTGGGCCCATTGCATGGTCTGAAGGATTTCGCCCTGTCGAGCACGCAGATCGGAAGGAGCTGGAACCTGTCGCGCCAACCCGCCAACCCGCCAACCCGCCAACCGTATGTGGTCAGCCGTAGCGAGAGGCATGATGGAGCTGGAGGAGAAATTCCTGGCTGCCTCTTGCAGTCGATGTGGCTGCCAGATGCGCGGACCAGCCTCTCGGCGGCAGCCTCAGCGCCATGCCGCATGGTCTGGGGCGCCCACCTGCCCCCTCCACAGATTGCGTGAACGGGTGGTTAAAGCAGTTTCGATGAAACGAGGGGCTGGCCGCAGCCCACGGCACTCGAGCGCCTGCGCACTCATTAATGATGCTGCGGAAGAAGTGCCGGATGAAAGCGACGGGTAGTCTGTCGCCGAGGGGTGCGGAGAGGGCTTCCTGGAGTTGGAGCACCCAGCACCGCCAACCTTGCTGCCGCGACACCATGACGCGGCAGGGCAGACTCCAGAGTCCAGAGTCCAGAGTCCAGAGGCATGCGAGGGAGGGGGTGTTCTGCACAGAAGGCGGACGTGCGGGATGCGGTGACTCGCGGACGCGATGGAGCTGCAACAGTGCAACGAGGGCGCAGCGCTGGAGAAATGGACAAACATCGTTAGACATGGAGAACGGAGAACAGGGAGCCAGAACCAATGCAATATAGGCCTTGGCCCGCTGCTGATCCAGGGTCCGTGGCCAATCCTGTACAGAGTCGGCTCATCTCAACACTGTCCAGGTGGTGTCGCTCGCTGGTGTCGTCCGTGACTTCTGCTTCATCCTCGTGCTGCCGGCGGGGACAGACCATGCTGCCTTTGCCTGGTGATGCCCCTCGCTGCCGTTGTGGTTGAGAGTGAGAGGCATCTGTCGCGCCTTTGCTCTACCTCTGCCGTCGCCGCTTAGTCACGGGCCACCATGGCTCGAGGTCCCTTCCCAGGCCAGCGCGCCATGCTCACGACGATTTGCGCCCTTGCCGCCATCACGACGACGCTGTTCGCGCCATGCACCGCCACCGACTATGTGCCAGCAAACATCTCCACCACGCCGGGCTACAAGCTGTTGCCAGGCATCGCGTCGGTGCCCGCTCCTGTACGCGTTGCCCCGGATCAGGGCTTTGAGTCTGGCATCGATGGCCACTGGAGCACCTTTAGTCTGATGGTCGGCGAGCCAGCCAGCAACGTCCGCGTCCAAGTGTCCACCGCAAGCCAGCAGATCTGGGTCATCAACCGCCAAGCATGTCTGCAGAACATCACCGACGCCACGGGCAGCATTGTGCAGTACAACCAGCTCAATGGCGACTGTGAGTCGACCCGCGGCCGCCTGTTCAACCAGACGCTGTCAACGTCCTGGACCCAGAAGGGCTACTACCGATTGTGGCTTGAGAAGTGGATTGGACTCGAGGGCAACGGCCTGTTCGGCTTCGACTATGTTGGCCTCGGGCTGCCGGGCGAGAAGGGTCCGTCTCTCCAGAGCACCATCATCGGCACCCTAGTGTCGTCCAACTTCTGGATGGGCCATCTCGGCATGCACCCCAAGCCCACCAACTTCTCCGTCTTCGAGGACCCAGTGCCCAGTTTTATGACTGGTCTCTTTGAGCAGAAAAGCATACCCAGTCTTTCCTTCGGGTATACTGCTGGTGCACCGTACCGTACGTTATTTCCACTGTCTCAAGTATGACTTGTGCTAACAGGAGTAGGCTCCATTGATGGCAATGATTTTCTCGGAAGCCTGACGCTTGGAGGATACGATGCATCCAGACTCATCCCCAACAACCTGACCTTCATCTTTGCACCCGACAATGAGCGCGATCTTGTTGTAGGCGTTGCTGGTCTGACAGCCAACACTGCCACCAAACAAGGCATCGATCTCTTGAAACAGGTCGACCTGAACATGTTCATCGACTCCACAATCGCTGAGATGTGGTTGCCGCTTGAGGTATGCAAAGCTTTCGAGGATGCCTTCGGGCTCAAGTATGACGCCAAGACGAACCTGTACCTCGTTGATGACACTCTTCACCAGAGTTTGTTGGCACAAAGTCCCAATGTTACCTTCACACTCGGCCAGAAGTACAGCACCGATGCGACCATGCAGATCACACTACCCTATGCCGCCTTTGACCTGGAGGCGTCGCCACCATACAGGGGTCTCAAGCAGAAGAGCAAGTATTTCCCTATCAGACAAGGCGGAAACTCAAGCCAATGGGTGCTGGGCAGAACATTCTTGCAAGAGGCGTACTTGACTGTAGATTGGGAACGCGAAAACTTCTCTGTTTCCGCGGTCGACTGGACGTGGGGCAGTGAGTCCGCCATTTCTGCAATTGTTTCTCCTCAGTACGCCTTACAGGATCCTTTTTCAGCGCCGAAGAAACCTCTGTCTACAGCCGCCATCATTGGCATTGCACTTGGGGGTGGATTCGTGTTTGCGCTCATTACGATGGCAATAGGCTGGTGGTTCTGGCGGAGGCGCCACCAGCAAAAGTTGGCGGCCATCAAAGCGAAGTATGAAGCAGAAGTCGCTGCTGCTGCCCTTGTGAAGAAGGCAACTCCAGGGGAACAGGAAGAGCCACCTGTGTCGCCCACGCAGGAGAGCGAGACGGGCACGAGCATTTTTCCGAAGGCAGAGCTGCCCGCAGGACATGCCATTCAACATGAACTAGCAACTGGTGCGCAAGAGAAGGAGCCACATATCATCAACGAAGTGGAGAACAACGAGCGACAAATCTACGAGATGCCCGGTTGCATTCCCGAGCCCAAGGAAGCGGACGGTCGTCAGCTTTCTGAAAAAGAGTCGATGGTGGTCCGGGAGCGACTGTACAACGGCGTAGATCCGCATTCACCAGCCATATCGCCTGGACCGCAAGAAGCCCCACGCAGATTGGCTCCAATATCTGCGTCAGAGATTGCAGTGGTGGATTCAAGACTGCCTATCAACACCAATGTGTCACCCGTTACTCCGCGAGCGCCAAGGGATGGAGCTTTCCTGGAGAGCGCAGACACATTCTTCCAATTGCCGCCATACCGTCCACGAGATGGACAGGCGGAAGACTCGCTCTTTTCCCCGATCTCACCCCTGGAGGGGCCCACAGACGACACGCCCCGGCGGCGGTTCTCGTACGAGTCATGACACGAGTGCAAAAGTTGATGGTTCAAAGATGGGAATTTACCGGCGTTTACTGGGGTTAGCGACATGTCGGTGGGCTTCATTTGTTCCGCGGCATGCGGCGCGGTCGGCACGGCGGCATTGGCGTTTGACTGGGATATGATACCTTTGATTTGCTTGCATAGGAAGCTGGAATAGGTAGACTCTAGAAGCGCAGCGTGCGTGGGCACGGGTCGGTCACGCCTGGATTAGGAAGGCGCGATGATTGATCGTTCCTCTGTGAATACTCTTTTTGTAAGATGGGTGCGCGACTTAAGAGGCGCAGGATGCACAAAACGGACACAGTATGCAGAACGGGAATAAGATGACACTGTTCACCATTGCAAGTTGCTCATCAAGGGACACGTACAGTAGCAACATGTCCATGCACATGCGCATCAAAGATGACGACAAGACGTCTGGAGCCTAGGAGCCTAGGAGCCTACCTACCTAATGCCAGGTACAAAGGCGCATGGGGCGGAGCGGTCAACGACTGTGGCTAAAACTCCCAAGTCAGCGCTGGAAGACTGGAAAGAGTTTGGGGCGGTCCCTTGTCCACGCGTTTTACTGGTGAGTTACCCCACCATGCCTCATGGAGCCCGCGAAAGACACGCAAAGACACGCAAAGACGACCGCTTTTTGTTCCTGTGCACAGCGTCACACTGTCAATCGCTTACTATAAGTTGCCTTGAGGGTTTGCGTGCTGCATCGTGAAGCACTCTTGCGAATCTTGTTCTCGCCCGTATTGACGAGGTTTCGATAGGCGCTGTGTTGTGTGCTGCACCAGGACTCCCTCAGTCATCACACCTCTCCCGCGCGCCTGCGCGAGCCTTATAACGACGACTCGGCCTGCTTCCAAGCAAGTTTGATCGGCAGCGCACTTTAGTCGTTCTTTCCCTCCCGCGACACACGGCCTTGGTTCTTCTACTTACCCCTCCACATCAGCCACAATGTCGGACCTAGCAGGGAGGAAGGTCTTCAAGGTGAGAGCAGCTGAGCTTGGCCGCAGTTTGACCTTCTGACGACCGGGGGCAGGTCTTCAACCAAGAGTTCATCGTCGACGAGCGCTACAACGTCACCAAGGAGCTGGGCCAGGGTGCATACGGCATTGTCTGGTAGGACTCGCCCTGCCCCGCGCGCAGACGCAGACGCAGACGCAGACGCAGACACGAATCCGATGCTGATAGTGTGTTCGCAGTGCGGCAACCAACAACCAGACGGGCGAGGGCGTGGCCATCAAGAAGGTCACCAATGTCTTCAGCAAGAAGATCCTCGCCAAGCGCGCGCTGCGTGAGATCAAGCTGCTGCAGCACTTCAGAGGTACGCTCCCGTTGCACACATCGCCCGTGTAACATGCTAACTCGACGTAGGACACAGGAACGTAAGACCGCCCCCACATGCCTGGTGGCCATGTATTCCATGTAGTCCATGTAGTCCATGGAGTTCATGGAGTCTTGCTTGAGCTCGATGCTGAACCACGCACAGATCACCTGTCTCTATGACATGGACATTCCCCGCCCCGACAACTTCAACGAATGCTATCTCTACGAGGGTACGCTGCTCCTCGTGACTCTGCAACTGCAACACACCAGGCTGACGTTCCACAGAGTTGATGGAGTGCGATCTGGCAGCCATCATCCGCTCCGGCCAGCCCCTCACCGACGCCCATTTCCAATCCTTCATATACCAGATCCTCTGCGGTCTGAAATACATCCACTCGGCCAACGTCCTCCACCGCGACCTGAAGCCCGGTAATCTCCTAGTCAATGCCGACTGCGAACTCAAGATTTGCGATTTTGGCTTGGCCAGAGGTTTCTCCATGGACCCGGAAGAGAATGCAGGATACATGACCGAGTACGTCGCGACTCGGTGGTACAGAGCGCCCGAGATCATGTTGAGTTTCCAGAGCTACACAAAAGCCAGTACGTATTCCTCGGTTTGTGAGCTGTCAAGCGCAAAGCACGTTTGGTGACACTGGACCCTGGCTTCGACATCCCGGGGTCCATGTGACTAGAGCCAGCCTCCACTTAGTCTCTCCGTATCCGGTAGGTACTAGAAGCTGACGAACGCAGTCGATGTATGGTCCGTCGGATGTATCCTCGCCGAGCTGCTCGGTGGAAAGCCCTTCTTCAAGGGCCGCGATTACGTCGATCAGCTGAACCAGATCCTGCACTACCTAGGCACACCCAACGAGGAGACCCTTTCGCGCATCGGCTCGCCCCGTGCCCAGGACTACGTTCGCAACCTACCGTTCATGCAGAAAATCTCATTCCAGTCATTGTTTAGGAACGCCAACCCCGATGCCCTGGATCTCCTCGATCGCATGCTTGCCTTTGATCCTTCCAGCCGCATCTCTGTCGAGGAAGCACTCGAACACAGGTACTTGCAAATCTGGCACGACGCTTCAGACGAGCCAACATGCCCCACGACATTCGACTTTCAGTTTGAGGTCGTCGAGGAAATACCCGAGATGAAGACGATGATTCTCGCTGAAGTCAACCGCTTCCGCCAAATGGTCCGTGTCCAGCCTGGTGCCGGTGGCCAAGCTCAGAACCAGCCGCCTCAGGTCCCGATACCTAACAACTACGACCGCGCTGGCTACGAAGATCCAAGGCCGCAAGAGGCATACAACCAGGGTGGGGGTAGCTGGCAGGGCAACGATTTAGAACGCGATTTGCAGGGTCTTGATGGAAGGCTGAGACAGTGATCTTGGGGAAGAGAATTTTTGGATAAAAAGGTATCCCCGTGTATTACTTCCTTTAGCAATTATTAGCAGGTCATGACTGCATATGACAGTCTCTACTAACCTGTGATCAGTGACAGTGTGAGTGATGCACTAACGATCCTTGTGTGTCAGAGAGGCGCGTGTCGCTTGCACGTCGATGGTTGGGTCAGCCTTACTCTATGTAGCCCCCACAGCGTCGAGGACATCTTGCTCCAGCACCTCCATCAATCCTGGGGCCTCCCCTTTATACCCGAACGTCTTCTCCGCTCTCTCCGGCCTCGTCCGAGAATTACTAGCAAACAAGTACCTGGCCAATTTCGGAAAGCCAGGCAAGTTAGCCATGGAATCGAGCTTGTCCAAGCCAATCTGCTCCAACTCAAGATCCCTAACAATACCATTCCTATACAAAACATCCGCCGTGGCTGTTGCCAACTCGATCTGCGAGTACTCCTGCGTCGCCGCGAAGTAATATCCATTCCTGTTGAAATACTCTTCTGCGGGATATCGCATGGGCGATGCCGCTGCTTCGACAACACGCAGATACAGACGCATCAGATCGTCAATGTGCACCCAACTCCGCGTATTCGATCCGTCTTTGAAGTAAAACGCTCGGCCGTTGTTGGCGGTGCGCAAGTGTTTGACGAACATGGGTATCAGCGCGGACTGGACTTTTGCTAGACTTTTACTGCGGCCGTAGATGTCGGGCGGGCACATGATTGCGATGTTGACTTTGTCAGCGTGTTTGGCAATTGTGTCGTGCAGGATTATCTC